AATCAATGTTTTGTTCAGACCAGATGCATTTTTAAGAAAAGCAGCTATCTCTTCCGGAGAATCACCAACCTTATTTGCTTTAATGAGAAATTCAATTCCTTTCTTAGGTTTCCGATTAAAAAGAGATATGCCTTCCTGCCAAAAATTTAAAATTAGATTTCATGAATGATGATCAGCTAAAATAAAGACAAAGTTAGACCAGTTTACTGTCCAGACACTATCTACACACACACAAACCTGAAGTTCAAGCTTGTAAGCTCGACGCTGCTCGATTGTTAAAACATCAGAAGCTTCACTAGAGGCTTCAGACTGAGAATCAGATCCTTCAACAGGCTCATCCCCATTCCCATTTGCCATGGGGACATTTCCAGGTTCAGGACTGTTCTCAACTGCTTCAAATCTCTTGGTAGAATGAGGATCTGGAATACGCAACTGTTTGTTCATCCAGTCTCCCATTGATTTTAAAATAGCCACTAAACACTTCATAGCTTCAAGTTTCATGGTAGCTTCCTGGGGTGGCAATAGTGTTGTAGCCGCACCAGGGGGAACACCTTGAGCTGTTTTCAGAAGTCCATTGACCATTCTGGGAAGAACCATAATGAGAAAAATGAGAAATATGCAAAAGTTATTGACTTCTACCAAAGATATGTTGTTAATTTTGATGACTTATAAGAGCAAGGAACATACCTTTCAAATATGTTTGACGAATTGACATCACAATCATAGTTGATAAAGATATCTACCAAGATCTGTGAATCAACACAAAGCTTGTCCAGAAAACGAAGAACTATCATCTTTTGCTGAAAGTTAGGCTGAGAAACATTTTCCAAGACCCTAAGAACAATCATAGGAAAAAATACTCCAATCTCTGCTTTCAGGCCAGCTCGAAACCTTGACACGAGACTAATGAAAATGGAGCAAGAAAGCTGGAAAACAATCATAAGAGTTGAAGCACTGTTCTTCAATAGTGACAGACACAAGTATTGCTTTATGGCACCTAAAAACCTGTAGCGCCAGAGGAAAATTTTCAAATTCAGAATAAAAATATCAGGACAGGTACTGTGAGCAAACAAAAGTTGAGATGTGTAAAAGCAATATATATATATATATATATATATGTATATATATGTTAATTTTAATCGATGAAATTGAAAATATAATATGAACTACCCCATGTTAACACAAGAAATTTATCTTTCAAAAATAAAAAATAAAAAATCATCCAAGCATGGAAATAAAATAATATCTCACAGACAAATCAAGAACTAAAGGTTGTGCTGAAATATGAATGCAAACAAAAATGTTATTGAAATCACCAAGTAAATGCACCATAGCTTTCCAAATTAAACAGAGGTGATGGAACTAAATTGACCAATAAAAAGACATCTAAATAAAACACCCTTGCTAAATGTTCAAGGGTCCATGACCACAAGATTATAACACAAGGGTTTAATATCCAAGAAAATTCTGCACCACCAAGGTTTACTTTAATGTCCCCTCATCAGGAGAAGCCACCTTGGATGTTTCAAATCTAATAAAATGCTATAATGTTTTTGCCTATCCTCCAAGACTCAGTATCTAAGTGCCTATACCATACTGTTACTTCTGGATATAACCTATATTCAGCACATGTTTATCCTCTAGTACATACTAAATGCCTATTCAGCAAACTGATATTAAGAGGGCATATCAAGAGTTACACATCACATTTTCCATGTCTGTAAGCAAATGAATACTTAAAGCCCTAACCATAAGAAACTTTTCAAAATGCAAATTAGAATAATTAAATAAAACCAGAGAAATATGTGCAAAGAGGGAACATTAAAGATACCTTTCACTTGTTCTAAAAACCGCTCCGGCATTCTCTAACAGAATCTTCAACAACTCAAGTGCCACAATCTTCCCTCTCATCAACTGAGGATCCGCCATTGCCTCTTTAGGCGGTGTCTTCATTGACAACTTGCAAAGCGCTCTAAACACCAAAAACGCATCCCTTCTCAACTTATTCCCAATCTGAACCTCCAAATCATCATCTCTCTCCACTTCACCATCTGCCAACTCCCCTTTCCTCCCTTCCAATGCTGTCTTATACATACTAATCTCCCAATACTTTGCATCCAACATATCCTTATCAGTAGAATCCAGCAAATCAGCCGGATTGGTGGTTTCAACAGTGGTAGTTTCAAAAGCGCCATCATGGCCACCTAACGAAACCTTACTCGGTGCCACTGGATTAAACACTCCATCAATGTCCTGCATAATTTTAGTTATAAAACCTTGAACAAACTGAGTCATTGAAGCATCAGCATCGGATTTCTCAACGGGTTCCATCAATTCAGCCACTACGATAGGCTGAACCGGGACAGTTGATGAATCAGCCTCCATCCTCCTAAAAACAATCACTAACATTTGAATCAAAGAAGCTTTTGCCGTCGTTTGATTAACCACATTTTTACTCCCTAAATAAATATCATAACAAGTTCTCACAATTTGCAACAAACAGTCACCGTGAATTCGCAGTGAGATGGAAGTTACCGCGGATAAAAGCGTTTTCAAAACCAGTAATTCAACGGCATCGTCGCATAAATCGTGGCATTTACAGATGGATTCGATCAATTTGGATAAGAGCTGAGCCTCGGGACCTCCAGTGGGGTCCGCTTCGCCACGTAGGTAGCCATGGGCGATTAACTTCTGAATACAATCAAGGGCTGGATCGACGATCTTGTTGAAAGCGGTGGCGCAAGCGTTGATCAGAGGGCTGAGAATGGACTCTGATTCAGCGAGGGAATATTCTACTGGGCCGCCGTCATGGAGTGGGCCGGGGATCGAGTTGTCGGGCTCCGAATCTGACGGAGATAGAGGCGACTTCGGAGGAGAAGTGAGTCTCTCGAGAAGAGATTTGCATTGGTGAGCGAGTTTCGAGTGCTTCCGCCACGAAGCGTTCTTGATGATCTTCTCTAAGGCCGGAGCTACCACTTGGCTCATGCGGGAATCGGCTTCCGAAGAAGCCATTCCCAAGTCGGATATAACACGTCCCTCACGGACACAGATCTAGGAAATCGATAACGAAATGGTAGGGCTCGTTTTATCTCTCTTTACTTTGAATAAGGGGGGAATTATCTGAATGAGAAATGGAGTCGAGTCGACTCGGTGAGCATAAACGGTTGCTTCCGTTCTAATTGCATAAGAAATAGAAAAAGAAAGAATTAAGAGCCTGGGGAGGGAAAGGAGACGAGTGGGCTGTACAGGGGAGAGGGGTTGAGATTCAGATCGCGTTCTGGTTTGTCTTTTTTTTTTTTTTTTATCAAAGTCCAAGTTTGAAACCCAATAGACTGAAATGCCCTTGCATAGCGACGTGCGTGAGCCGCAATAAACTGGAGGTTAACATGTTTGAATGGATGAAGTGTTAATCATATTGTGACATGGAGGGTAATTTGGACATTAAAAGTTAGGTATTTCGTACTCTTTCTGGTGATCAGCAGGGGAGTCTTGGACGAACTTCCCGGTTACTTCCTACTATTTTTATAAGCATTTTAATTTGAACAATGTGTAGTATGAGAGAATCGATGAAATATGTTGTCCAGAAAACTTTGAAACGAGACTCTTATTTTGTTGAACTCATGACTTTGTCTAATTTGTTCGAACGCTTAAAGGTTAATATTTTTGTCTGACTTGAGGATATTTCATCGTAATAGAATATTGTCATGTCACCTGCATTTACCTTTTTTTTTTTTTAATTGCAATTCATTGTATATGTTGATATTATAAACTTTTTTTTTAAATTAGCTAATTGGTACTTTGAAATTTCAATAGTTCCCACATGCTAATGAGATGCTTTACTTCAACACTTAATTGGATATGTACATGCCTTATTATAAGAAAATAGAGCTTTCAAAATTCTGATTTGCTATTTCACTCTGCAATTTTTAAAATGATTTTTTATTTGGTTAGATTTGATAAGAAAATAGATAGTGATATCTTTAATTACCATATTGTCCAATCCATTAAAAATCAATGTTTTTTTTTTTTCGTTCCAATGTTTGAGTATTATTGATTTTCAGAGAATAAAAAATTTAATTTTAATTTATTTAATATTAAATTTATTTTTATAAAAATTAAAATTTCATAATTTTTAATATTAAAAAGTAAAAAATTTATAAAAAATAAGAATTTTAGATGTTAAAAAATATAATTTTGAAATATCAAAAAAATATATCAATAAAGAAAATAGTACGGACTGAGACTATTATTATCAAATGTTAAGTTGCTAAGGACAAAATTGAAAACAGAAAAAATTTAAAAAAAAATATGAAATGAAAGAGAAATAAAACATCTCTTACCTATTATCTCCTTATTTTCATGGAGCCTTCGGGCTACACTATGGGCTTTAGCCCACCCTTTCATTGTTCTCTTTCAAAGTTTTGTTTTTCTCCTGAAAACCCAAAACTCAAAAACCCAAAAGAATTTCTCAAAAACATTTCGCATCTGGGTACTGCTAATGTTTGGATTAAAATAGGAAAGGAAATGGACAGAGGGGTTTCTAAAGGAAATGAATTGTTCCAGTGCATCCAATTTGACTGCCTCGACTGCGCCCAAAATAATTATTACCAAGAAAGAAGAATGTTCCAATAAATACTTTAGTGAGACCCAGCAAGCGGCGTCAGTCAGGGCAGCAAGAAAACGCTATTCATTTTTTAAACCAATTCATCATAATATGTTGGCATTTGAGATCTCATCTCATCATCACTTTGGCAGTATTAAAAAAGATGATCGAATCCTCAGTCAAAGTCAAAAATTTCATTCGGAATTTAAAATCCTTTTTTTTTCCAAGGAGATCTAATACAAAGATAAAGAAATAAATTATAAGTAACAAAATTAAATTTCGGATTTATTAAATAATTTTTATTAAAATGATTGAATGAATTAATTGAATTAATTTGAACTTAAAATGTTATTGCTTTGCAAATATACTTGTCCAAAGAATAAACCAAATCTTGTAAGTTTCTTTCTGTTATTGCACCAAAAAAGTTTTGATATAGTGAGAAACATGATCCTCGTTGAATGCAGGATTTTTTTTTTTTTTATGGAAGCAGAAAATAGTTTTTTTTTTTTAAGATACAGTAAAGTTGAATTTCACTGGTATCTGAAGAAAAGGAGTAAAAGCGGAGGAACAAAAATAAATATAGAAGGAAAAAAAATATAACAAGATTAGTTATTAAGGTTACTTGCCCAATGAAATATAACATTAAAACTAAGCTCCCTTGCCAGCTAGTATGGATCAAGAGAGATTTCAAGGCAAGTATATACTAAGGGAAGGGTCAATCTCACTTTGAGAGAGATGGTGATGATGAAGCATCGGTGCATGGCAGTTGCGGAGACCCTTGTCTATGGAGGAGCTCACGAGCCAGGGCTTGAAGATCGCCGCAACCAGTTGATGATGATGAGCCGCTCCCTCCAAATTGGCGTGGATCGATTTGCCTCTGCTGCATGGCCCATGAAGGTTGCACCATTGGATCAAAAAGTGACGATAAATCGTATGTGGCTGGCACTGAAGAGGCTGATGGGAGGTCTGATATTGAGAGAGGAGGCGGTGCCATTAGCGTTTGTGGCTGTGGAGGCGGCGGGGGTGATGGTAGCTCTAGTGTGGCTAAATGGGCTTGTAAGTACGATAGCTCTGCTTGCAAATTCACTACCTGCCAAACAATTTTCCAATAAAAAAATTTAGCTGACTGAATGAAACGTTTATATATATATATATATATATATATATGTGTGTGTGTGTGTGTATATATTACCCAAAAAACAAAAGAAAGGTATGCATTTAGTATACTCGATAAAAAAGAGAATAATTTGAATCAATCGTGTACAAGTGAAACGAACCGGTTCAGTATATATAAATTAAACAATATTCGAGGCAAATTTAAGGCTTCTTGTCTTTGTTTACACTAGAAGGAGGCTCGGATAATGTGCACAAGAACATGGTGTTGAGAACAAATAACGTTTCATTATGACAGAGGAATAAAACTGCCGACTGCACAGAGCTTTTATGGTATGATTGCCGAGCAAGATGATGATTATTCATTGCTAATAAACCATTAATTACATCGTATATCTTTTATTGGTCCAATAAAGATATATAGAATAAGATAACTTTAAATACTCTATATACCTTATGAAAATTTCTCTACTATTTGCAAAAGTATATGGGGATAGTACACAACTAGGCTGATTAGACTAGAGCCCCCCCCCCCCCCTCTGGCCTTATAGTGATCAAGCTATAGCATCGGAGTCATCCCAATTCCTTTTTGGGGTCATCAGTTGCACGTCCATTTATTCGGGGAAGATGGAGGGTTATGATCAATTGACTGAAGTACCCATGTTTACTGTATTGCAATTGGGAAGATAACTATTTCTTTAATGGGGAAGAGGAAACAACTCTTGCCCTTGAGATATACCCATGCTTCCAAGAACAAGAAAACCATAGCATGAAATGAAACCCCAACAACCCAAAAAAAAAAAAACCGACCATTTCCTTAATACCTGCAAAATCCAGAATTTGCACAAAAAACTGGCCATTCCAATGAGGTAACCGCCGACCAAATGATTTGTTAATGAGAAAACGTTCTAGATTTCAGCAAAGTGCGAAAACCTGCATCCGAAGCAGCAAGCCCTTTGCCCCCCTTTCCACCCCATGCATTATTTATTTTTCTTCTTTACCGTACAACTGTTTCTTATCCATCAAGTCCTTTTAAGAATGGTGTCAAATCAGGGCATTCTGAGACTTCCTTTCGATGGTTTCCCCACCAACACTGTTTCCTTCTTTGGATTACATCAAACCCAATTCTCTGCTAAAGCTATATATAAACTGAGTGGACTTTGATCCTATGAGGAGATACGATAAAAGGTTCAAGTCCTCACTCAACTGATTAATTTGAATTAAAACGAAGAGAGCCAATGGCTCAATGCCAATTTGACTACATCAAACAGGGTTTTAATTTGAAAACGAAAGTTCTCAAAAGAATAAAAGGTTCCCGGATTTACTTGATAAAGAAGATGGTAAACCTAGAGAAAAGACAATAAAAGCAAAAAACAAAACTAAACAGTCATGCTAAAAGTGCCCATAATGACAATCCTTATCGAAAGATGAAAAGTTGTACTAGTATTTACCTGTTGTTGGAGAGCAAAGATGTGAGCAACACAGCCATAAACAGGATCTCTTAGCCGAGTCTGAGCCTCGTAACATATGGTAACCACGGCATCAAGCCGTTTGTGAACAGGAATATGAAGAAGCAGCTTTGATACGTTGCTTGCCCCAAAAACCTTATGCACCGCTGCAAAATGGGCTGCGCCTTGCTCCGAGTCAAAATAAGGAGCAAATATACAACCAGGCACACATTTCCTTCTCAAAAACTTGCACGCGCCACAAGGTCCACCCCCACCACCACCACCACCACTACTGCAACTGCCAGCACCACCGCCAACACTGCCACCGCTACTGCTAGGCTTTGCACTCATGATTGGAACTTTTTTAATTTGTTCTTTCTTTCCTTTTTAAAGTACTATAACATGTCCCATGATTAGGGCTTGTGGAGTTGTTCTAGATGTTGAAAAAGGTGAAAAAGATGGAAGGGAGAAGGAAAAGAAGAAGGGATGTGTGTTTTAGGGTTTGGGTCTGGTGGGTGTTGGTTTTTTGGTGTCTGGGATGGTGATGGTTATTTTAATGGGGGATTTAAAACGCTATAAGAAGTCTTTAAAGCCACGCGAGAGAGCAAACCCCCCTCCCCCCACATTTAGCTGTTTGCGTGAAGCAAACATGCGATAAGCCTAGCTAATCTCAACTGCCCTTTTTATATTATATTTTTTCACATATATCTTCCTTTATCTCGTGAATTTTCTAACAAAACACATGCGCTTCCCTCTTCTCTTTTAATTTCTCTCTTCAAAAGCTCTCTCTCTAGTTCTATATATTGTATGTGTGTGTATATATATATATATATATAAATAAAACTATTTTATATTGTCCACAACTATGCCTTCGCCTATATCTGAATCTGTCTTGCAAACAAGAGAATACATTTTAGAAGTCGAAACGTGTCTTTGGAGTCTGTCTATATTTGCCACTGCGTGTTTTAAGCTGCGTAGAGGGCAAAAGACGCCATCTCTCTGTCTCTCTCTCTCTCTCTCTCTCTCTCTCTCTACGTTGAAAATGACTGAGCTATTGCTTTCCTTTTCTATACAATAAGCCAAAATAAATCCACTGGATTTTAGAGAATGACTTGGTTACCCACAGGTTTATTTTTCATTTAAATTTGTAGTTAAGTGCTATATATAGTAGAGTCTAATAAATGATGATGTGGGTTTTCAACTCAAGAACAAGAATATAAAAACTTGTTTAAAGGAAGTGAGAAATTACCGAAAAGTGATTAAACTTGGAGAACTAGACTTGTCTAATGACTAATCCAATATACCCGTCAATTATGAATTGGCTTGTGTTACGGTTACTTTTACAAATGGAAAGACATATCACCATCTCAAGCTAGCAAAATTCTTACGCATAGATTTTATTCTTTGCTGGCTTTAGATGTCAGGTAAGCTCGCATCAGGAAAACCCTCAAAATGGAAGAGTTGATGAGCGTAATGAATTTGACGATGACAAACAACAACAACGATAACAACAGTGATTGTGGTATGCTGATCATCATCTTCATCATCATCTTTTTTGTTCTTATTGCGTGACACCCTTTACAATACTGTACGGCCAAAGCTAACCAAAGAGATGTCTTTTTAAATTTCATTAGCATTACTATTAAAATTGCTACTAAAAATGGACATTGCCATGAATTTAATGTTTTTGAAGCATGTATAACCTCTTTTAATTACTTTTATTCTTTTTAAGACTTTGCCAATTAAATTCAATTGACACTTCCATAAATAGTATAATTTGGACATTTTCTTAAATAGTTTGATTTCTATTGTGTGTGTATATATACATATATATTAGTTATATAATATGTGACGGTATCTATTTTTGCCTACAAAATTATAAGTTCTACTAGTAACTTGTTTCGTTCTTGTTATATAACTTAGTAGGATTCTTAAATTGGACTCAATAATTTTTTTATGATACACGTGTACTAGTAAAATTTTATGGTCTTCGGTGATATATAATTAGTAATTAAGCCTTTTATGTAACTGAAGCTTGAACAAGGAAAGATAAAACAAGTTATGCATTCCTTTATGGATCATTAAGTACGAATTTTTTTATACAAGAAAAGTCGCAGTTTAAGAAAATATATTAAAAAAGAAAAACTGTAAGAAAATATATTAAAAAAGAAAATCTGTAAGCGTAAGGATCAAATTTTGATCATGTAAGAATTAATCTTTTAAAAGAAATTGATGAATCATTTTAATAAAGTTTTTTAAGTATTTATTTTTGGGACTTCTAAAAAATGATATGATTCAAATTGCAAATATAACTAATATTAAATTTCTCAATGTTGAAAATCGGGAAGCTTACAGTTTGAATTAAGGAAGCTTTGTTTTGCCAATTTGAATTAAGGTAACTTACACGACCAAAAAATGACCTTATGCTTAGAAAAAGGGATTAATAAAAAAAAAAAAAAAGAAAGATTATGTTTATTGTCGTCCAAATTGATGAAAGGGAGGGAGGAAAAGGCAATCAAAAGGTCAAAACTCAACTTCGGCGTTCAAAGCAGCAGCATGAGCCATTCGAATGCCTGACTGCCACGTGTGAGTCCCTGAAGAAGAACGTAACGGCCTGGTAAAAGATGACCTCATTTTTATAGTGGGACCCACACGCCGTTCACTTGAATCAAAAGTAACGTTCGGCTTTCCCTATTTCTCAAATTTTAAAAATATTTTTTTAGTGTTTACCTTTCAAAATATAGTATTTTAAGTGTCAAAATATGTACGGGAGAATCAATAAAAGGACAAATACAGTAAATATCAGTAACAGTTCGTAACGGCGTGTCACCGCGCCGTCCGGCTCTTGTCCAATCCGTGTGTTACAAAGAGGAAGCATTGACTGAAATCCTCTAAGAGCCAGTCAAATCAAAACACGTATTGATGAACGACGGATGACGTTCAAACAGTTCCACATGATCCATCTCGTGCACCTCCTACGTTGGCACTTCACGCTGTTTGGAAAGAACAGCATCTGCAATTCTGCATTCAATCCTAGTAAAGTAGCCACTGTTGTCTGATGACTATGCTTTATGTCAAATGGAATCATTCGTCTTATCAAAGATTGATAAAATTGATTAGTTGGTTCTTTTCAACAGGGATCTTGAATCGTGGACTTGTTGATCTTTCCGATACTACAAACATTAAATATTAAAATTTTGTTATCAGTGAAATTAAAAAATTAAAAATTTAAATTTAAATCTCAATATTTTTATTAATAAGTGTCATTAAAGTACTTAAGTCAATTTTTAAGATTAATTAAATAATCATATATAGTAATATTTTTTTGGTAGATGCAATAATTGATAGTTAAATTAATGAATTTCAATGCGTTAAAATAATATATTATTTAATATAATAATAATGAAAAATATCTTATAAAAACGTCATTTTAAAAAAATAACATTTAGTAGGTTGAGTTTTAAATCATAATATTTATAATATTTTTATCATATCTAAACTGAGTTTATTTTTTTGTAAAAAATGTATTCTATATATATTTATTAATAAAATTCATATAAAAAAATTAAAGTAGACCGTTCAAATATAGTGGAAACAAATGATATCCACATATTATTATAAGCAAGTTGATTATTATTATGATTAAACGTGTAGGAAGTTCAAGTAACAAAGTTCCCATAAATTTGGGGAAGGGCCTCTTCTGTCCAAGTAATCAAACACAACTCCATGACAAACACATTTTAACGTTGAATTTCCTTAATCAATTGTCTCTTTAAAGTGTTAATAATCAAGAGAAGTTGTCATGTTATTAGGTTTGCCCGAACTTTAACTAACAGAAACAGTCTCATCAGAGCGAGAGCTCAATAATGTGTTTATTTAGTGATAAGTATTAAAAAAGATTAAAGAAAAGTACCCCACAGGTTTTCCCACTCGTGTGGTCAAACAGCCAGGGTGATAAGATTATCAGATTTAATTATCATTCCTTTACGAATTTTATGATCAAAGAAATGCATTATAAATTACAGGATGTCACCTTAAGATACGGCAAAGCCGCTGTCAACTGTAATTTATTATTTTAATTTGGCTTTATAGGATTAAAATTTTAGATTATTAAATGAAAAAACTTAGGAATAAAAAGGAGTACAAAAAATGTTTTGTTTACTTAATTATATTCCAAGAGGACTCTGCATTTTTTCAGATCAACCGTCTGATCTATCCACTATTTTCTATATCTTTGACCGTCCATTACTGAAAAAAAAAAAGGTGTTCGGACCAAGCTAGATGATTAATCATGAATTAATTCTAAAAAGTTTTTTTTTTTTTTCATTTTTAATAATTAAAAGTAAGAACGTTAGGCTGGTGATCGATATATACTAATCTACAATGAGCGATGCAGATGCAATGATATAAAATAAAATAAAGAAATGTGTTATGTACTTAATTTATTTTAATCTAAACTCAAAACTAGCAGGGTTTTTTTTTTGTGATTCCAAAAATATTAATGTAGTAATTTCTTGTTAAAAATATATACAAAGCATGCCACTGTATGGTACTGTATATATAGTAGTAATAAAGACTTTGCATGACAATGAGGCATTGAAAGCGGCCTCTTGGAAGATTTTCAAACTTGTCTCCTTTTAAGCAATGGGAAATTTTGTCTGAGCTCTCAAATCTCGATAACTGTCACATGCTTAAGATTGTAAATTTATAAGAACGGTTTTTAATTTGGCAGCTTCTTAATTTTCTAGCTGGTCATGCATCAAGCTTCAAAGCTTCAAAAGTACTCAAAGATTGAATAGACTTTTTCCCTTCTGATGATCAATATTCTGGGATGGCATCATCTGGCCATCTGCTATATGTATATAAGACTGTTTCAGCCTTCGAGTACTACGTACTTAGACGCTTTTAGCAAAGTACATATCTATATTCAATTGCAATGACCATAAATTTTCAAAACATGACAACTTAGCCAACTCGCTAGCTGTAACAATATCGTCAAACAGGGAAGCTGACGTTGTAAAATGAGCATCCACAATCCTCATTTTCCCATTAGTATGTTATTGGGCTTGATTACTGGCCCAATGCTATAGCTGTCTGAAAAACCGACAGGCTGACATGCCTTTGTTCCTGTACACGATATATATATATATATATGTATATTAATTCATACTCTGTAAGTTTTTTTTGTGAAATTTAGTTAGACAGCTCATGAAACTAGTGTCTGTTGTCTTCTGTTTCAAGTGTTCATCGAATTTTGTAACGAAAATGGTGGCAATGCATGTATCATCAGGTACGCTTGCTAATTATGTAAGAAGGAAAAGCTTAAACGAGGGCTTTTGGTATGTAGTTGTGTGAGGAATTGAAGAGGGAAGAGTGAGAAAATTAACTAGTAAGGAGAAGGGAGCAAGTTTTCTTCCTTCGGTTACTTCAGCGTCTCATGCATGTACCAAACAAGCGGCGAACGGCGCGGCTCTACAATTTGACCAATTTTCAACACTAAGTTTTCTCTTAAGCTCTTATATTTATTAATTAATTTCTCCTTTAATTACAAATTTTATCTCTGTAATGCCTAGGTTTTTTTTATTATTATTTGTAATCGTCATTTTGTGCTTCATATATAAATCACTAATCAGCTTCATAAATGAAAAAAATAAAGAAAGCGGGCAAGAGGGGGTAAGAGGAAAACCAATCAACAACCTGTTGAGGAAACTGTTTGCTGAGTTTTGCTGACAAGTCTCGTCTTCTTCCTTAAGAGAGACGATGGAGGGGACACTGTTTCAGAATGCCACATGTCGTGATTTGATGTATGATAGCTTATTGAAACATGGTTTTTTGTGATAGTCATTTCGAGCAATTGGCCGTCTTCAGCATTCACCGTTCAGCTCATATTCATGTCGCATGTTGACCATATATACTTTAATTCTATCTCGCAAATGAAATCCAAGTGCAAGCATGCTAAATTTCGATTGAGTTACACATAACTAAAAACTAAACAATCGTGAATTATGAATGTATGTCATTTTCTGAGTAGTGACTTGCCACCTGCATGTGGGCACATGAATTAGAGGGCAAGTGATGCATCAATTGTGAAAAAAGTGAAAAAGTACACATAGTGAGAGAGGTTGGACATATGCACACGATATCTCTCAACTCAACCCTCATTGAATTCTATGTAGAATAAGAAATAACCTAAATAAAACTGATATATCGATCTCACCACACTCCATGTTACCAGTGGGACCTTGATGATCCAATTCAACTCCATTTTGTTCAATGAAATTTCTTCTGAATAACATGCATGCATGCTTAATTACTCAACCCCATTGAACCTTGGAAAAACATAGTAATCAATAAAATTATTGTTCTTGCTTTGCAAAATAATGGGGCAATTAACATTTGCTAAATCAGTTTCGGCTGATGTAAGTAGCTGAAACCGTGGGAAGGAGTGTTGTATAGACAAAGGTGAAAATAAAAGGAAAGGAGAGAAAAGGGGACAAGGGAAAAACCAGCAAAGCAGTGATCTGTTTACAGTGTTGCTGAGAAAAAGCTGAAGTTGGAGGTGACAAGAGGAGAGCCCACATGGGGTTCGCACGTGTCTACAACTGCGGCGATTGGGAGTTGAAAACAATTGAGACTGCCACTCACCCCATCCGCATGTATGTTTGCTTCACGCAAGCTGCTGCTCCACTTCTGCCTTCTACTTTGCCGTGGCTTTAAAGTCTGAATCTACAAATTAACAGATCCACCTCTCTTTTTCTCTCCTTTATTTATTGTGTATATACTCATATAATTCTAATAGTCATACATAGATTGAACCTAAGCATGTTTAATCCACTAATTGACAATCTATATGGAAAGTTGGAAACATCTAAATCCAAAATCATCTGTACATCTTAATTACAAAACACTTAAAGACTTATCTTACTGTAAACATGTTAATAAAATATTAAAAAATGGACAGCTTATTTTTTTATTTATTTTAATAAATAAAGTTTATATTTGAGAATAAAACTTAGATGATATTCTTTATGGAATTTGTAAAGTTTTTTTAATAAAACAGATTTAATTAAAACTTTAATAAAAATTTGAAACCAATGGATTGATAAAATTTAATGAGAAGATCAATAATATGAAAAAAAAATTAAAAATACAATCCATAATTTAAATTTGATCTATACCTGTTCAATAGTAAAAATTGTTAAAATTTTTAATGAAAATGATAACCTAAAAAATATATTAATTTTTTAAAAAAATTTACATACTTAATCTATGTATAAAGATTATTTGTTTTGATTTTTGATTTTAGTTTTTATTTAATCTTTTTTAGTAGAGAACTTCACTTAAAAACTTTTATTTAAGTCTTTCTCTTATATTTAATGCATTGATTCTATATACTATCATTAAATCGGATGATACTATCTTATTAATGAATAAATATTTTAAAAAATATTAATTTTTTATATATTTATTTTAAAGGTTAATATTAGCTCATTAAAAAAATAGTATCATCTGATTCACTGATAATATATAAAATTTATACACTATATAATAATATATTAAATATAAATTTTTATAAATATATCTAAAAAAATTACAGTTACTGAAATTTCAACTCCAAACTATGAAATTTCAATTCAGAAATTGTGAGTTGTATATTATATACTTAGTGGTTAACTACATTAACAAATATAAACTTGTTTAAGAATCGCTGGCTTAAAAAAACAGTGAATACGGCTGTATTTGATCACAAACAAACGAAATATATATAGAAATAAAAAGGATGGAACTACCGGTATTTTTTTGCAATGACCCACCACCAAAGTAGCAGAGCTTTCAACAATTCTCTTATCTAAAACCAGTTAACAAACAAAGCCCGATCTGCTCCTCTCAATACCCATACATCCTCCTCTTTCTTTCTTTAGACGCCGCCGCATGTTATTTTCTTTCTAGTTCTAAAAATCAGAGATAATCTCTGTAGAGAGAGAGAGAGAGAGAGGGATTATAGATCATAGATCTATATCAAAGACAGATGAGTGCAAATAATGGAGGGGGGCCGTGTGGCGCCTGCAAATTCCTTCGGCGAAAGTGCGTGAAAGGGTGCATATTTGCACCATATTTTGACTCGGACCAAGGCACGGCTCACTTTGCTGCGGTGCACAAGGTTTTTGGTGCGAGCAATGCTTCAAAGATGCTGCAGCGAATACCGGCTCACAAGCGCGTCGATGCCGTTGTTACACTCTGCTATGAAGCTTTGGCTAGGGTTAGAGACCCTGTTTATGGCTGTGTTGGCCACATCTTTACCCTCCAACAACAGGTCAGCCCTCTGAATTTGATTTTAAAATTTCTTTTCTTTTTCCTATCTATATGTAATTATTTCTCCCACAGTCATGAGTATGTCACTATTTTAAATATGGGGCAAGGGGCTTGTTAAGGCAAGAATCGATAAATTCATTAAACATGATAACATCGATCTTTCTGTATTAACTTTGAGTGTTTTAATTGTCAACGTTAGGTCTTAGGGTTTTGCTTTCCTTCTTCCTCCTTTTTCTTTTCTTTTCTTTTTTGAGTTCAAAATTTCACTGAATCATGGGTACAGTAGTAGTAATTTTGTTGTTTTCTACATTTAGGTGCACAAGTTATTGCATGCACCTGCGCGGTTACAACTTTTCTCAATTAGAGAAGTGGAAGTATGTAAGAGAAGCTTATAGTAGCCCATTCCTAGCTAATTTGAGTAAAATCTTATAACCAGATTTTGTTGGGAAAAACAACAATACCTCCGCGCAGCAACCACACACAAAATAACAAGCTCAAATCAAGAATAAGAACACACAAATATATTTGGTTCGGCCAACGCAAAACTGGCCTTACTCCAACTTAATCCGACTATCAAATAAACTCTTTACAATTGTGAGACTTCTAGAATGAGAAAAGTCTCCTTACAAACTCCTTACTCAAAACTTAACCCAAAACACCCAATACACCCTTTAATAGCCTACTCACTAGCTATTCTCTTTGGTGTCTAACTCTATGGGGTTACTAAACTAAAATCAAAACATCTTATTTATAAAGGTGAAACCCTTTATACTTTTACTAAACTCCCGATGTGGGATACAAGACAAATTCAAACTTACTTAACTTTCGATGTGGGATTCTGAGATTCAAGGCAAATCCCAACAAATCCTCCCTTGACTTGAATCTCCAAACACTTCAACAGTATCTGCAAAGCTAACATGCTTACCTTTCTTCTTTTCTTTCATTACAGGCATTCCAACAACTGAGCTTCCATCAAACATGTACAAGTGATTGACCCTATTCCCTTGTAGAATCACACTACCATTCTTGTACACTTTTAACCAATCATTACTACCATAAAATGTGTACCCCCGAGAAGCTAACTCACCCAAAGCAATCAAATTGTAGTGACAATTTGGTACATACCTTACATGACGAAGTGTCCTAATAACACCATTGTGAGATCTAAGGCGAACACTCCCAATGCCTTGAATCTGCACCTTTTCTTTGTTAGCAACCACAATATCCCCATACTTTTTATTCTCATTCAACTCCACAAAGCAACTCCTATCATTGCAAACATGAACTGTAGCAGCTGAATCTAAAACCCAACTTTTATCACTTTTCAAAGTCTGGGTCTCATCCACACAAGTTGTCAAAACAACATCATCATCATCAGACAAAATAGCAGCAGTATCACTCTTTTCTTCATCTGATTTCTTCTCATCATTCGCCCTTTTGAAAGCAGCCATATCCCTTCTCAGCTTCCTGCAGCGCACTTGGATATGTCCCTTCTTACCACAATAATAACATTCTACATCACTGTAATCTCTGTCTCTTGACTTAGATCTCCATCTTGATCCATCAATCCTCTTTTGAGTCCTCCCTCGATCAAAACCCTCTACAGCTAGTGTACTCCCCCCAGGTGATGAGTTCTGAGCTCCCATAAACCTTTCATTCTCACGCAACAGGGCAGTCACATCATCCAACTTCAAAGTAGACCTGCCTACCAACACAGTCTGAACTAAAGGCCTATAAGACTTGGGCAAAGATGACAGCAAAATTAAAGCCTTCTCTTCATCTTTTAACTCATCAACAGAAATCGCTAGCAATTGAGAAACCAATTTATTAAATTCATTCAGGTGATTATGAAGACTCATACCTTCTTCCATCTTCAGAGAATACAGATCCATCTTCAAACATAATCTATTAGTCAACGACTTCGAAGCATAAATACCTTCAAGCTTATCCCACAAACTCTTCGGAGTACTCTCAGTCAACACACTGTACTTTACTTCTGAAGCTAACGCCAATCTAATAGTACTAACAGCCTTCTTCTGAATCCTATTCCAATTAGCATCAGACATTCCTTCAGGCTTACTACTCTCCAATGCCTGATCCAATCCTTGTTGTACTAACAGATCTTGAATCGTACTTTGCCATAACATAAAATTACTCTTTCCATCAAATAACGGAATCTCAAACTTAGGCATAGACATACCAGACATACCTTCTTCAGACATCTTCAAACACTGCTTCACGATCTCTTGGACCCACGAACCTAGAACCTCGAACCTGGAACCTCGCTCTGATACCACTTGTTGGGAAAAACAACAATACCTCCGCGCAGCAACCACACACAAAATAACAAGCTCAAATCAAGAATAAGAACACACAAATATATTTGGTTCGGCCCAACTCAAAATGGCCTACTCCAACTTAATCCACTATCAAATAAATCTTTACAATTGTGAGACTTTTAGAATGAGAAAAGTCTCCTAAAACTCCTTACTCAAAACTTAACCCAAAACCCAATTACACCCTTTAATAGCCTACTCACTTAGCTATTCTCTTGGTGTCTAACTCTATGGGGTTACTAAACTAAAATCAAAACATCTTATTTATAAAGGTGAAACCCTTTATACTTTTACTAAACTCCCGATGTGGGATACAAGACAAATTCAAACTTACTTAACTTTCGATGTGGGATTCTGAGATTCAAGGCAAATCCCAACAGATTTGACATAAGTAACCAGCTGTTTCATAGCCATAGGCCAACAGAAATGGCTAAAACTTAATTAAAAGTTCAAGTGTACATGCAAACGTGTGTCTTGGAGGGTGTAGCCGTCCGGTAAAAGTTTGACAACTGAATTAATAGTATATATATATATATATATATATATATATATATATATTGTGGAAGTAAACTAGTTAGTCAAGGTTTTCACATTTGTAACCCTATTTGTTTCTTCAACGCCAAAGACTAAAAACATAAAGGGTTTTTGATCAATCGCTCGTTAGGGTTTCCTAGTGGTAGCCTTTGCCTGTTACGGTTCTCTTGGCTTCTATGATTGCAAAACGTTAAAGCCAAATTACCCAAAGTTTTGTTTACTATAGTTTTTCTTTTGGGATAAAGCCATTACCCTCGAAATTTTCTTAAAAAATGTTTATCATTCAATAAAAGTACTGGACTTGTTGGCTAAATTTTACTTTGGAAAGGTAGTGTTTTTTGGTTGTCTAACTCGTATTGGTGTTTTCTAATTGAAATTGCACCAAATTCATAATAAATTGCGCTTCGGCTGGTGGCTGTCACACGTAGTGGTGAATGGCAAAATGGTTCGGTTGCTTGCCGGAGCCAGCAAGCAAGTTTAGCAACTCGAGAAATATTCAAATAGTTTTGGCTTTGACTTTGTTAGTCCTTTGTCTTAAGCATATACTTTTTCATATGCTAAAAGAGTAGAAAATGTGTAGTTACAAATGGGTGTTAATTTCTTCATGCATAGAGAGGCTCATGGGTCCTACCATGTGCAGGTTCGATCATGGTGAACTTCCTTCACCAAATGAAATCTCTTTCTTTTATTGTTGGATGGTGAGATTTACTTGTATGGATTATCTTCTTGATGAAATGCCTTTTGAGAAACCCATCATGGAATATCGATAACTATCTTCTTCATCACTTCATGAAAAATGGTCCTTCATTATTAAAAAAAAGGTTTAAATTTTTTGGGAAGTTGGTCTACTTATGTAACCATTTTGAACACGGATTTAACAATACTCCTTTCAAGAATTAGAATACAGTTTTCTTCTTCTTCTTTCCACTTATGTTTGTTGGGCAGATGAGCACAAAGAAATATAGTATGAGCTTTAATTAGGTAGGATACCATTATCTTCTTAAAATTGATTATTTTAAATTCCTCGAGAGAGATAAGACAAATAGTTAATTTATTCATATTAAATTGCATTATAATTGAATATATATATATATATATATACCATTTTAATATTAAAATATGAATATTTTACAAACATTAAGTCTCATTTTGACGCTGTATGTTTGTTACCTGGTGAGAAACCTTTATTTTTTTATTTTTACATTACATTAATTTTTTTTCTAACTGTTCTCCGTTCCACTGTTGGCAACCTCTTATCTAAATTTGATAATTCATGATTTATTTCATGTTTTTTTCTATTAAATATGTGTAAAATATAAAAATTATCATATCAAATTTATATTATATGTTAAACACGAAACATTTTTTTTTATCAAACTTATATATTACTTTTGTTAAAATTTAAATCGTATTATTTTTATATTGAATCTTCGTTTCGTGTTTCATATTACCAAGTGTACTTTTATTTATATACATATGAAAATATAATAATAACTGTTTGTTAACTCACAGATAAATTTAAATTTATCTTGTGATTGCAGGTAGTGAATTTACAGGCAGAGTTAGCCTACATTCGGGCCCGTCTTTCTACGTTGCAGCGCTTCCCTCTAACGCCACCATCTCAAGCCCAATGCCTATCGGCAACGAGTCTTCACTCCTCATCAGAAATAAGATCTGACTTGGTGTCTTCTTCTGACATGTCAATGCACTTTTATACACCACAACCACAACAGACTTCAATCGAGCTCACAAGTTTTCCAAATCCTTTTGGTCAAGAAATGGAGAACGAGGAGCTTCAAGCTTTAGCCCGGGAATTTGTCTCCAGATATCTTCCTGGTGTTCGATGCCGGCCTTCGACTTCTAGTTAAAACTTCTGATGTTGTTAACCATAACCTTTCATGTGCTTTGTCCCAGATAACTGCTATTGATTCTGTAATCTAATGAAATCGTACCCTTTTTTTTCTACTTGAGTTCACAATTTCATCCAATGTTAGCGGCAGCGGTTCGTGTTTTTCAGCTTGTTCAAGGGTTCCTATTTTCTGGATTGTTACAAATTTTTAGTGCTTCAAGTCATGGATGTCATTTTTATCCCCCCAACTTAAAAGAGTAATTCGATTTTCCAGGTACCTGGAAACTATCGCTGCTCTAAAGCAATGCTCTTGCCTCCAATGATTTGATTACAAGTGCATCGTGGATAAACGTGATAGTCTAATATATATATATATATATATATATATATATATATATATTTTTTTTTTTTTTTTTTTCTTTCTAGAAGAAATTGTCATAGTTCGCAGTTACCAAATTAGCATTGACGCGTCGGTGCTAAACAGCTAAATCCATGGTTGGGCCAGTTTAGAAGCCCACAGACATCTCTTTTGTTTATTAGTGCGCCACTAAAACGAGTTAGTTTTTTCTCATTCTTACGGCACGCGACAACATCCCATGGTTCAGGTCCAAGAACCATTGCCCGGAAATCTAAGAGTTGTGCTATAAAAGAGCAGGTCTTCTATTCATGTGATAAGATAAGACCTATCAAATTTCCTTTGAACTTGTCAGTTGTCATGCAGGTTAGATAATTGTTAGTGACATTACATAGTATACTTTTGAATTCCTAATACAAACTCTGATGAAGATTAGATAAAATTTGTGAGATTGGCACCAGAAAAACTTGTAATATTAAAAAAAGAGGGGCCATCCAGCCCAAAGCATTTCCAACCACACGCACTCTTTAAAACGACAAACTTGACCATTCATCAGATAATCATCTTGCACCATCCACCTTTGGCTTCCTTTCTTTTTTGTGTTTTTTTTTTTTTCCCAATTCTTAATATTTATCATTCAATATGTTATAAATACCGCTAAAATTCCAAAATGTAAACTTTCTGGCATGTGGAAACTAGATTCTCTACATGCACGGTCATCCAGTCCCTGAATCCACTGTTGTAGATTGTACTTTGTGGCTTATGCTATGTAAGAAGAGAATGCAGAAAACTACAACCGACTTCCGCACCACAATAATGTTGGGAAGAACTAATCAGTTCTGACCCCAGAGCTAAATAGCTAAGAGATGCAATACTACAAGTACAACCATTTCATATAGGAATATTGATCCTGCAGAAAAGTCAGATTGCCGTTTCTCACTCTCAAAATTCACACTCCACTTTATAAGGAAAGACAGTGCAATATCTCCAGAACATTGACAGAGACTGACTACTAATACATAATCGCATAGGGAGGAGTAACTACCTGTGCAAAATTTATTTTCTTCAATCCATTTGTCATTTGTTAAGTCAAGAATGCTCTTGCTTCAGGAACCATATGATGCCAAGCCTGGAAAACCAGCAGAGCGTCCCACGATCAAAGATCTTATGTCAGTTTCATACGGGGATCCCCCACATCAAAGTATATTCATTCCAAGAAAAAGGTTTGACATGGCAGAGAAACAATTCTTAGTGGCGATGCAATGCCAATTCCATTTAACATAACAAAGTGTTTAATAATCGTTTAAAATTCCCCAGCAATTTTGAGCACGTCTGCCTCAAGGGCATATCCTACGTGGCTCCTAACCTCTTATTAACAAAATTCTGTAATTCAAAGTAGATCATATGTACCAAACTTCTAGTTTGTTGAATTGAATATTTCAAGCTACAGCATCATTTAATAACCAATAACAGCAATAGAAATAACCCCAAGTGACTTCAGACATGCAAGGTATTTATGATATATACAAATATGAAATTGAGTCCGGTGATTAATTTAATGAAATACAGAGTCCAAAAGGAAACTTTTGTATTTAAGTATATAAAGTGGGGAAAGTTGCTAACTATTATACCTGTTTCAAGTGATACCTGCCACTACAGATAAAGGAGAATGATGATGACATCAATTCCTCAAGAAATTGACTGCAAAGGTCAAATAGATTAAAGAAAACATATGAATCAGTTATAGTTCAATTTGAAACCTGCATCACCTAACTATAGACCTGGCTTTGGATACTATATTTTCATATAGTCAATAACTTGACTCTTCTTATACTTTCTTCACATAGAAACATAATTAGAACTGAATCCAATCTTTAAGCTTTATGTATTTAACTTATTTCTCTTCCCATACGATAAGGGACACGGATCAGCCATGAGTTTTTCTACCATCTGGATTCATCAAAACTTGAATTTCAGCACATAGTTATGAAAGAAGGTGGCATTTCCTTCCATTATAATTAACCGGCTTAAAATATTTACATAAGAAAGCATCATATCTGCATTGGATAATTTTCCTATTTTAACTCCCATACAGCTTAAAAGATTTATATTTCTGACAAGGTTAAATTGTTTCTGTGCAAAAACCATTTAAGCCATGAGCAAGGGTTGAGACCTTTGGCATATAATCAAATGCCCATATCCAAAAAGGCACAATTTACAAAAGAAAGCACCGTATCTATAATGGAGAATTTGCCCACTTCGAATACCATACAGCTTAAAAGATTAATATTTCTGACAAGTTTAAATTGTTTCTGTACACAAATATTTGGGACATAAGCAACAGTGGACGACTTTGGCATATAATCAAATTCCCATATCCAAAAAGGCTCAATTTAATTGGACCATAACTACATTATAGAAAGAAAGTAAGCTACCATAATTTTACAACAAAATGACTTTTACCTATGCAAATAAAGAAACTGTGAAATCACACATATTTGGTCTAGGTATGAGACACTCTGTAAGTAAGGGTAAATTTCATTCAGACCCACCACAATAGGGTTGGCCCCAACATCTATTGACTGCAATGAGAGCCCCACAATTATAAACTGTGCTAAGAAGTCATTTATTATATTATTTGGATAATTTCAGTCTAAAAATATCACATATCAAGCATGCAACCATATGATAAGATTATTAAATCATCAGTCAGCCCTGAAGAAGTATTATTAAATCATCAAGCGTAATTTTAACTATAAACTCACTATATGACCTCAGTCTGCAGGCTAAAATGGTGGTCCAACTTCTTGACATAATCAAGGCATAAGTTGCAAAGCCTTAATCTTGTTAAAAGAAACTGTAAAAGTATAAACCAGTCAGCAATTCCCTAAACAAATACGTTACTTGAATTTCAATCATTATGTTACCAATGAGGAGAGAGGGAAAGTGAGAAAGAGGGGCATACCAGAACACTCTAAACTATCATTCATCAACAGAGACGCAATCCTGGATATAATATTAAACCCACGCAACATGCACACATGGAGACATGTTGAACATTAAAAAACACAGGGACACCAGAAACAACTTAACATGGTAATGGATTGAGAAACATAAAACAAGACAACATATTTATTGGGATTCCGACATTGAGTACAGAGAATAACCTAAACAGCAGCCAAATCTTTCCTCCAAATCATATATATTTCAAAAGAAAAAAGCATATGCTCAGTCTTTCTCTACACAAAGAGTATTATTAGGACTGATTTTGGGCAGGGTAAGAATACCAGAGTTATGATACAAACACCCTAGCAAGCTAGACTCTATCAACCATCTGGTTCTCCATATCAATGCAAAGTCAAGCAGAGTTAAGGAAATCGAGCTACCAAACAGAGTATTAATGTAAACAAAAAATTAATAGTGATAAGCAAAAGCCACAGAAAAAAGAACGTGGCAGTACCCACCAACTCAGTTGAAGAAAGTTCCTTGATAGAACTTGATGTCAAGCTCTCCAGTAATAGGCATAGCAAAAAGAACTATTGAATGTACAATGCACCTAAAACATTCACAGACAATCACTACTATGGTTCACAATACATAACTAAAAAACAATAACAATAAACAAAGGTGAAAAGAGAGGGAGGATAAAGCAACATACAAATTAAGTAGCCCATAGAAATCATCCTGACAATTTGACCCATAATACATGATAATGATTACAACCACCAGCATGATCAAGCCAACTAGTAGATAGTTCAAACTCTTTGAAATTAGTAAAGAGAGGTGAACCTGTCATGCACTAATGAGCTTTGAAACAAAGGGAGGATACCAGATGATACGGAAGAGAACAGAAAGGATCAAAGGAACATTTATGTCATAATGAGGGCAGAAAAGAAAGAAAGATAGCACATATAATACAGTATACATACAAGAATCTAAAACGAAGAGTAAAGAAACCAGTCACTGGTGTCCGTAGTAAGAGGAAACCAGTCACTGGTCTAAAAATCATGAATGTCCACAACATTGTTAACAAATAGTTATAAATAAGGTATGTGCAGATGAGCCCAATTGGCTATACTTTACAGAAACCACACACAACAAAGATACCTAAAAGCATGTGAGAAGCTCCAATCTTCAGTATACATAAATTTACAATCCAGTGCCAGCTGTGAGAAGGGATGAAGGGGATAATATAAATTCATGATTATGTTAGAGTGGGTTAACCTGGCTCTTCAAGATTCTACACAATCTCTCCATGTCTAAATCCACTGTCACCACAATCCGTGCTGGAATCTAATCCACAAGGAGAATCATACCATTTAGGATTTTCTTGGTAGAAACTATCAACCTGAATGCCAACAAGACCTACGTCTGTCCCTATACCATCATCATGTCTCATGGGTTTGGTTAGTTTAGTATCTTCACAGTCAAGAATGCTCTTCTCATCAAAATCACTGCATTTCAACCACTTATCTGTCTTACAAGGCTCGCTGATCAGATCTTTCTGACTCCTACAATCCGTCCTCATTTGGTCCCAAGGAACAACATCCCCAAGTGTCCTTCCAAAACTGTCTTCATCATCTTCAATCAATTCTGCATCCTTGTCATCCCCATATATCCGATCATGGTGGTGATCACTCCAGTGTGACAAATCATTCTCCCCTACCAACATGTCATCTGAATGAGGTTTGTCAGAAAGCAATACCATTGACTTTGGACCCTCTTCCCCTAAACTTCTTACTTTACTCAAAATATCATATAGCTCCCTTGATACTGAACCCAACAACTGATGAGGAACCTTGCTAATCCTCCCCTCTAACAACCCAATTTCAGCTCTCAACTCCTGCACCTGCTGCAAAACAGCAAGCTGCAACTCTCCTTCCTTCCTCATTAATCCAAACCCCTCACTATCCAAATCATCACTTACCCCATAAACCATGTCCTGATCCATCAAAAACCCTCCCTTATGCCCAACAACACGATGCATAATCCTTGCATTCCCATCCAGCGGCCCTGGCTCATGGCCAGAATGCACCGCATACAACTTAAACACCGCCATCCCTTCCTCTTGATATACAAACGTCTTATCCTTATCATTATAATTGGCAATTGGCACTATTGCCCTGATTCTAAATCCACAGCCACACCTTTTAGATGCATAAGGTTCCCTCTTCAAAATCCTTGACTTCTTTGCTGCAGGCTCCCCTGCTCGATGACAAGCATAATCCTTCACCTCGGCCATAAAAGGCTTATATCTAATATATTTCTGTCTGATACAGAGCACAACCTTGTGCTTTGCAGCCAATTGCTGCAACCTATGAGGTACCTCCTTTGCAGGCACGTCAAAAGACTCTGTGTACTCAAAACGACGCCGTTTACTCCTTGAAGCAGATCCTGAGGAAGCATTGCATACAGGGCACGCCGCAACACAAACCCTGATGTAACTCTCGGGAATTCCATAGAACTTAGCACCTACAGTCCACACTTGCTTGATTCTCTCAATTGTTTCTTTAAGCCCTAAGTGTTTTAAATCGGCGTCGCCATGGAAACTCATAACGATTTCTTGCCACTGGTTAACATGGGAAACGAATTGATTAGAATTGTTTTTGAAGCAAAGGAATTCGTTACCGGAATTGGGGTCCACGTGTGCGGTGAGCTTGTCTTGGATTCGCTTCCACGCAGTCAGGTAAGCAGTGTCCTCGTTGCGGTCCTTCCACACGGCGCGCCACGATTTGAGGACAGAGCGGGGTGTGGCGGCTCGGATCTCAGCTGGAGTCGCTAAACGCTGCTCACGGATGCAGCGGATCATGAGGGAATGAGAGTCGGCGTTGAAGGTGTAGAACTGAGAGGAAATGTGAGCCTCGGGGCTAATGTATCCCAGGGGCTGATTGGTAATTTTCTGGGCAGTGTTTGTTAGGTCGGTTGTTGTTGTAGTTGTTGCGGTGGAGGAAGGGGCGTGGTGAGTGGTTGCGGCTGCGTCGTCGTTTTCGGAATCGGACCGACTAGGTGAGTCCGCGGAGGAAGAGGAGCGGAAAAGGACGATTTCGGGGAGGGAGAAGGGTGGGTCATGGGGAGGGGAAATGGACGGCTGTGATTGGGTATGGATGATCTGGGAAGGCGGGCTCAGATCAGGGTGGTGATGGAAGAGATCGTCTTCAGCTTTGTGGGGATTCATCACGGAGAGGAATGGCCGTCGGAGAAGAGGGAAAGAAGGGTAGTTTCCCAATATCTTCTATGCTTGTTCAGTTTCTATCTGACATTTTCTGAACTCAAAGGGTTTCTACTGTCTCTCTCTCTCTCTCTCTCTAAAAACCCTTTTTTTTTAGTCAATCCTTGCCTTTACTCCTTCAACTTCAATTTAAACTTTTGGAGTTTTTATATTATTATTTTTTTAATTTTATTTTTTGTCTTGGTTGCTGTTCCATTTCTGTTTGTTCTATCTTTTTTTTTTTACATTTTCTTTTTCTTTCTTTAGAATTAATGGATTTTGATCGGATGATGTACTTTTGACAGTGCCGTTAATTTAAGGTTAATGCCACGTCCGATTATTAACGTTCTCTGGTTTTCCATTAAAACAAATCGATTAAAATTATAATAAAATATTATAAATTTAACAAAAAAATTTATATAATTTTTATATAAAATATAATAAAAATACATAATTTATTAATTTTTATTCAATTTAAATATATTAATTATCAAATCTAAGTTAACGTGATTCTATTGACATTACACTTATGCAGTGTGTTTTAAAACATGGGCATCGATATCCATATGTTACTGGTCCTACCTATAAGCATTGAAGAAAATTGATATAAAATTCGTACCAATCCCGAATTTGCACCAACCTCATCGAATTGTAAAAGTCAATAAAAGATAAATTTGGGACACGGAAATTAAATAAAGTACTCCTTGGCTTATTGTAGTTTGTACAAATTAGATTCTTGAAATATACGGAGAAAAAGTAATGGCCAAAATTTCGTAGTGGGAGTGTATGGTGGGTAAATCCCCCTATTCTATATTAGTTGTAGGCACGACAAACTTCTTTGTGACATTTATTATTAATATTTATCATAATTATAGCCATAATTTTAGTTAGTGACCCAAACCGAGTGACATTAATTTTGCCAAATTGATAAATGTTTTGTTCAATTGAACTAACATGTTTTTAACAACACATGCTGTTGTAATTTAATATGCATCTTATTGTTTTTTTGACATATTTGTATTAATTTATTATATTATTTCAATTCAACATTTTGTTTTTTAGTTATTTACATTAATTTATTAAACTATTTTAATTTAATATGATGATTTCAGTTTTATAAAAATAATGAATAGTACAATTCAAATAATATTTTAATTTTAATTTTAAAAAATAAAATTATTATTATTCAGTATTTTGATAGTCCTTTTCTCTTAATGCTGATTTTTTTCCCTGCATAGTTTTACTAAAATCGGAGGATGCATTTATGAGTAGGTCCTAGTGTAAGATGATTGCACTAATGATATAGGTGAGGGAAAATGGATGAGAGAGATGGATAAAGGCAGGGAAGTCTAAAAAGATTGGGGAAGATTTTGAATATTCAAAATGATAAATTAATTATTAATATCTAGTTTAAGTGATACAAAATTTAATTTTTTAAATAAAGTTTTAATTTCAAGTATTGTAAATAAAAAATATTTTAGAGAGTTTATTTTTTTTATAAAATTTGATTTGATTTAATTTTGAATTAGTCAATATTTAAAGTAATTTTCAGATACAATAAATCTCATATTACAAAAAAATCATCAAAATAAATTAATTTAAGAAAAATCATCAAAATAATTATTTCATATCAATATTTACTTATTCAATTCAAATTATGAATTTAAAAAATAAATTATTTATTATAAATTATATATAATAATTAAATGATAAATATTTATTTTAATAAATGTATAATTGATTATAATAATAAATAATAACTTTTTTTCCAAAATAATAATTAATTAAATGAAATAATAAGCTGACGTTAATTAACTATTTTATTTATATTTTTTGTGAAATTAAGAATGAGAATCAAATCCCTAAACTAGTTTGATAAGTAAATTATTAATTTATCCCTTATATATTTTAGAATGCTGCGTTTTGAGTTGAACATTTCTAACTTGTGAGACTAAATCTTCATCTGTACATGTTATTTACGTTATATACTGTTGATAATTTTCTTCTTGAAAAGTTACAATACTTAATTGAAAATGAGAAAAAAAAAGTATAACACTAATTATAAAATAACTAATCCTAAAGGAAATCAACAAATCATGCATTTTTTTAGATACAACAATTACATATTTTTATATAGAATATTTAAAAATAGTATTTTCATTTTTAATCCAAAGTTTATTTTTTATTTTTACTTCTAAACTAAAAAAATAAATTACGAAAGTATAGATTAAACAAAATCTTAAAATAAAAATACTCATTAAAAAAAAAGTGATTTGAGCACGTACCAAACTCGATCCAATAAATAAAAACATAATAAATTATGAGTGTAAATGCTATATAAATGTTATTAAGTTAGTTAAATTTTATTAAGATAAAATTTTAATTCAATTAATTTATTATCAAGTCGAATTCAAATAATTTAATTTATTAAGCGAATTAAATTTGAGAATCTTAATATCTAATTTTAATAGCTTACGAATTTAATTAAAATTTTATATTTTAATATATATATTTTTATTATTTTAATTAAAATTTATTATTTTATTTTTATATATTAATTTAAATTTGAATTTAAACAAAAATAATTAATTTTAAAATCGAATTTAAAAGTCATAATTTTTTTTTTAATTTAGAAAACTAGTGTAATAGAATAAGTTCAAGTACATTTATATTTACTTCGGATTCAAATTTAAAAATTAAATTTTAATTAAATTTCGAATTAAATTTAAAATTTTTATTATATCGATTTGATTCTGAATGCTTGTAGACCTTATTTATGGTGGCGTCACCAAATGTGGAGAATGGATATGGGGCTGGGTCACGCTGCCCTTCCATGGACAGTTGGACACTTGAAAATGAAAGTTACTCCGCTCATCAGATTTCATGTTTGAAAGGCTTTGAACGTTCTTTGACTATCTTTTTTCTTTTTGACTGATATTTGATACTTCGTGAGAAGATTTGCCAATTTTAATTTCAAATTTAAAACTGAAAAACCTCTTTGTTCATTGACCGGCCCCAATCCGATTCCCACCGACCAAATATCAAAGGTAATAATAACTGGCGCTTCCTGATTTTGCCACGTCTCGGTCGACCCCACCAATCCAATGACGTGTCAGATCAAGCTTTAATAGTTTAATTCCTACAATCCTCCACATAACGGCTCCTTCCGCGCCCCCTTTTTCCTCTCATAATCTCGCTCAAAATTCAAGCGTTGTTTCCTTTTTTTCTCTAGGTTTACCCGCAATTCCCTGATCCAGAATACGATCTCCGATCATCAATCACCCCCTACGGTACTGAGCGAGAACACTTGTCTAGTTCGAAAGTTGACGGTAATTTTCACTTTTTCCCCTTTTCAAGCTTGCATTTTCGTTGAATCGGAATTTGTTTGTTTTTGTGTTCAATTTTAGATTTATTATCACGGTGTCTGTTTGGCCGACAAGAATATGAAAGAAAAAGTGAATACAGGATTATTTTAAAGTAAGGCATTTAATCAGTGTGATATTCAATGGAGTGATGATTGACTACAAACATCGACAATTTTATATTCTTTTGATCTTTTTTTAGAAATCAAACGAAAAGAAACTGTAATTCTGCATCATCATGTTCACATTCTACTTTTTCAGGTACTGTTTTATTTCATCGGGTTTTTTTTTTACTTTGGCATTCATACTTGGTTTAAAAAGGCCTCTTGTCGTTGCAGAATATTACCTACTCCATGTTAAATCATTACAGCGAGCAGTTTGCGGGCATTTAAACAAGCTGCGGATCGTTGCTGTGTGAACTAGAGGTTCTCCTTGAGATCTCTCATAGTCATATTCAACATTTGCTTATTCGTTGGACATGAGATATTTTGAAAGTTATCTCTATTTTATTTATAACAGAAGCTATGGGATGAAGTTGGGGAGGCTGATGGCGAACGGAATACAATGCTTTTTGAACTCGAACAAGAATGCCTCAAGGTCTACATGAAAATAGTAGAAGAGGCAAAAGAATGCAGAACTAAATTGCAACGAGATAGTGCCATTGCCAAGGCAGAAATTTCAGATACCTGTACTTCTATTGGGGAGAACCCAGTGCATGTAAGTGCGGTTAATTAGTATTGAAATCAATATATTTGTATTAGTGAACATGGGCTTCTTTCTGACTTTGTGAGTAATTTTATGTTATTGATTATATCTATTCAGCATGATTTGAAGCCTGGCGGGAACTTGAAACTATTAGTCCACTGTTGGAGGATATGCGTAGAAAGAAAGTGGAAAGAATTAATCAAATTGTTGGAGTTCTAGAGCAAATACAAAAATTATCTAATGAGATTTCGGGGCTTCAAGAACAAAATGGAAATAAGGTGCTTGTTGACGAGACCAACCTGTCTCTGAGAAGACTTGAAGAATTGCAAAGTGAGCTGCATGAAATTCAAAATGAGAACGTTAGATATCCCTTCTGATTGGTTAACCCTTAATGAGGAGACTAGCAACAAGGATCTTGACACTTGAGAGCGTAGTATTAGTGGATCAATATTGATTGACAAGTCACATGTAATTTAGGATTTTGCTGGGTTAGTTGAGCATTACTATCAACATGACAGCAATCTCGTAATGATTTCAGTTAACACCACTTGCAGATCAATCGTCTGAATCGGGTGGAAGACCACCTAAATACTATAAACTCACTGTGCACATTTCTTGGTATGGATTTAAAACAAACAGTTTGTAGAATCCACCCTACCTTGGATGATTTAAATGGAGCAAAAGATGTAAGTAACAATACAGTTGCAAGGTTGACCGGTCAAATTCAAAGTCTGCGGGAGCTAAAGATAAAGAGAATGCAGAAGGTTGGTTCTGGTATAAATATAGTTTTTTTTTTTTTTTTTCATTTTTATGTCTTAAGACATTACACATTTGTTTCTGCTTGGTACTTCTGATCCTTTGAGCCGTGCCTCTACCAGATTCAAGATCTTGCATCTGCTTTGTTGGAGCTTTGGCATTTGATGGATACACCGGAAGAGGAACAACAGATGTTTCTGAATGTTACCTGTAAAATTGCAGCATCTGAACCTGACATTGCAGAGCCCAATATGCTCTCCATTGACTATATTAAAAATGTGAGTACTGAGAACACTATTTTAGACTTACGATTTTGAGTACTTTCCAATTGTGCTTCTCGACTTTTACCACTAATTTTCACTGCGTTTATTTTGGGGAATGAATTGTATAGAACTATCTGTATGTGTGATTTCATGTAGGTTGAGGAGGAAGTTTCTAGGCTGGAGCAGCTCAAAACAAGTAGAATGAAGGAAATTGTTCTGAAAAAGAAGGTTGAACTAGAGGATATGTGCTGAAGGACTCACATGGTGATGGAAGCACTTATTTCAATAGATTATTTGATTGACACTATCGAGTCTGGTAAATATCTAAGCACAAATATTATTTTTATAATATGAAGAAATTTACTTGTGTTACCCTGTGACCTGTGAGCTTCCAAGATCAGGTTAATTTTCAATTTCTGAATATAAATTTCTAACTTTTGAGGAATGCCTTTTGATTTTATTTTAAAATGAACTTTGTCTGGAAGGGCCATTGATGCTATCGGAAATGTCTTGCAGATGCCATTGATCCTCTGTGCCTGTTGGAACAAATTTACCTCGAGATTTCAAAGGTTAGAGAGGAAGCTTTCAGCCGTAAAGAAACACTCAAGAAGGTGGAAAAGTGGTTCGCAGCATGTGAAGAAGAGAGCTGGCTGGAAGAGTACGATAGGGTTGGACTCAAATTCTTTTTTTTTTTTTTTTTGTAAATAATGTACAGTCTTGTTTCTCACAACTAGATTGAGGACTTACAGATTGTTCGAACTTTAGGATCACAACCGTTTAATGCTGGAAGAGGATTACACCTCAGTCTAAAACGGGCTGAGAAAGCTCGAGCAGTTGTTAACAAAATTCCTGTCTCTAGCAGCAAACTCCTTTACTATGCCCTAAGTCTAATGCAGCAAACCAGGTGTATTGCAGTGAAATATTTAAAAATATATTGATTTTCTTTAATGTTGGCCTGGTGATGTGTTTACAAATTTATAAAAGATCAATTCTATAAATTTCTTTCTTTTGGTGCAGCAATGGTGGAGGCTTTAACTATAAAAACCACAGCTCGGGAAAAAGAGAGAGGGACTGAGTTCTTGTATGATGGAGTAAGCACTTTCCCTAAATCCTTTTACATTTTAGGACAAATTATTTCTGAATTTGATTCCATCAAATCCTATATAAGTTGTGCACTTTGGCTTAAAACTTGAGTTGCTCAAAGTTAAGATGTCATCATGTTCTTTCTTCTTTTACTACTTGTTATAGCCATTGCCATTGCCCTGTTTTCTAGTAATTGCGTGATGATATTTTTAATTGCATTTAGGGGCGACTTCTTTCTATACTCGAGGACTACAGCAGCCGAAGGCAAGAAAAAGAACTAGAGAGGCAGAGGCAATCTGTTTCCATTAACTTTTTAGGCTTCAGTTTGATGATAACAAGTTTCTCATCTTAACCTGTGCTTGAATTGTGTTTAAGGATCAAAAGAAACTTCACGGAATGGTGATAGAAGAGAAGAAAACACTTTATGGTTCAAAACCCAGCCCATTGATAAGTGGAAGGAAGGCTCCTGGAACTGCCAGCAACAGGAAACTCTCCCTCGGTGGTGCAATGCTTCAGCAGGTAAAGCCTGAGAAACTTGTTAACTGTCTCCACCCTAATAATAAAGGCTGACTATTTGATTCAAAACAGCTTGCTAAATCAGAAGCGATCCTGTGGTTTTGCGACTCACTCGGGTATATTCTAATCTTATAACCAGATTAGAAGGTGTACAATACTGTTTTCCTTTTTTGCGATGATTTCGTTCAGCCATGGAACTTTAGACCTTTAACATTGGAAAAATATTGTCTTTTTTTTTTTTTTCATTGGGGTGGATGCTGTAGTAGGAGAAACTCTGAGGTTCCTGGTCGTTTAGTGAAAAAGCATACCTCAAGTGCAGCAAAGTTGAGCGAGATTGAGTCACCCGCAGTTCGAAAGCCTCTTTCTCCACTTTTTGCAGTGAACTCCAATGCCAACATTGTGAATTTCATGGAAGATCAGAAAAAAGTACAGAATGGAAGAAGATTATATCCTGGTTGTACGTCACCAACGGGTAGGATACGCCTGCCAAGCCAACTTTGATTGGTGACGAAGAAAACAGAACCCCAAAAGCGATGCCAATTCCAATGCCAACAACTTCTTCAACGGTGTCGGCTTCTATGCTTGTGGCAATAACACCAGCTACTCCAGCAAACTTGGGTGCTTATAATGTCGAAAAGATTTTGGAACAAGTTCAACAAACTGAATGCTCTTTTGAAGAGGCAAGAGCAGGTTTTTTTTTTCTGTCCTAAAGACCCAGAAAAACCCGTATGTGACTTGCGTCACGTGGGAACGAACTCCTCCGTAAACCTTATTACTTACTAACTTTTCTCTTTTGAGTTTTTATATACTGAAAAAAGGAAAAAAAAAAAAAAGATTTCCTTGTTTCTATATTACTTGCGTGGTTAAGTCAAATTTGATGGGCTTTTTTAGTGTCATTGTAACTAAGCATCCGACCGTGGACTTTTGTGTCAAAATCCAATTGACTGAGGTTGTTGAATTTGAATCATACCTTGGATAATAAACAAGGTTGATGGTTTACAATTAACAAATCATAGTGTTTTTTTTTTTTTTTTGCTTTTTACCATTTTTTTGTATTATTAAATATTTCATCAATGCTCTCAGGCGGTCGTCATGAAGGAAGATCCTCGATTTTCATCATTGTATGATTAAGCGCTGAGACCAAATCCAAAATACCAAATACCGGTCGGGGTAAGTTGGGGACAGCTTATCTTTAATGATCTTTGAAAAAGATTGAAAGAGCGGGGCCCTGTCTTGGTAGGCATGTGCAATACATGACAACGTGGCTGTCTCTCATACAACAATACCTCGTACAAGTGTAACTTAACGATCCACCAACTTTAGGTTAGGATTTCATTCAACCGTCTAGCACATAAACTAGGGTGATCTATGATGAAAATCACCAGCCAATCAGATTCTTACAGTTGCGACAATGGTTTGCCCCAGATATTTTCGTTTAATTTTCACTTTACTACAACATCTGCCAGGACGCCTGGTTTACTTCAATATGTAAAAAATTTCTCTCTTTCTTTTCCAGAGAAATTCTTGACTGTCATTGGTGTGGTTTCTACGAATGCCAGGATATGCCATAAATGGCAAAAAGGAAAGAGAGTAATCCAATCAAATTCTACCATCAGATAATCTGCCTTTCACTCTCAGGTGACGCGATCACCACTCAGTCACCAACTCTCATAATTACGGGGAGGAAAATCAGAAACGCCAATAACCCAAAAAAAAAAAAGGAAAAATAAGTGAAAGAAGAACAAACGGGCAAAAAAAACAAAAAGAAAATCCACTGTCTATGGTGGCACAAACGTGATTAAGAAAAAAGTCAAGGGCAAAATCTAAGATGTTCATCCTTTATTCGCAGAAAAAGACAAAAAGCAGGTCAGCGGCAATAAAAGGGTCGGCCCTCCAACGCCAACTTTGCAGCTTTAAATGGAAGACACAAATATATATTTTAAGAAAGTTATTTACTTTACTTTTTCTCCGATATTTCCCATATCTTTTTGAGCAAATTACTATTTTACCCCATTTTAATTCAATTTTCAATTTTCAAATTTCAATTTCCCCTCACGGACGCGAAATTCCTTCTTAACCAAAATTTATATTATCGGGGTTATCAATTTACCTACTAATTATTAATAATTATTTTAACCTTATTAAATTATTGATTTATTCGTATTTTATATTTTCACTTTTTTTTCCCTGTTTTCTCTCAAGTAAAAGACTCTGTTCAGACAAGGAAAATAAAAAACCGGCCAGCTGTTTTCTGAAACCCTGTATTTTTTTTTTTTGGTCTTTTAATCTTCGAAAAACAGTTTTTTTTTGGGAAAAAATTCTGCTTGGTTGGCTAGAAAAAGCTTTTGAAAGTACTTTGCTTCAGTACTGGAAAAATGTGAACAGGTCTGAGGGAACAGTGTCAGTGAAGAGTTTTCCTGGGCTGTACTTATAAGTTACAGGTCATGATCTCTACATTTTATTATCTTTTTACTTCAAAGTTTATTTAGTATTTTTTTTGTTGTAAAAAAAAATCCATGCTTTAATGATTTTCTTTCTTTCTTTCTTTGAGATGAAAATTAAAGTTTTTATTTTTGGTTGATTTACAGTTTTATTCTTTTACAGTCTTGAAAAAAAAAAAGGTTTTAAGTTAAGCTTGGTGGTTTTGAATATTTTTATGTTTAAGTATTGGCAGTTTTTCTAGGTTGATTATGTAATTATTTCTCTCACAGTAAATTTTCTTTTTTTTTTTTTATCAGTTTTAATTTGTGTTGAAGGTGTGATCTTATGAACTAAACAGAAAGCTAAGCTTTGAGTTAAGTAGTTTAACTTGCATCTTTTCATGCATCTTTAATTTTTTTTTTTTTAGGATCTTTATGTCTTGAAATTTTTTCCCCTGAGAATGTCTTATCCTTTTTTTTTTTTTTTCTGATTTTTTAGTTTTTTTTTAATCTCTTAAAATTGCCACTTGGGGTTAGAGCTGATTATGGACCAATTTTTTAAAGTAAATTATTGAGTAAAACTTTCATGAAATTTTTAGCTTCTGACACCATTTTGCTTTTTATATTTTTTTGTTTCTGTTAATGAAAGAGAACACTGGTTTTAATCCCAAATAACTTGTCTGTTTCTTCTACTAGTTAGCAGTTTTTCTTGTTGGGTTTACTTTGAGAACATTGTATTTTTTTTTGCTAGTTTTCTGATTTTTGATTGGTGGATTTCTGTTTTGTAGGTGGCTGGCTTTGATTCTGTAAGCTAGATATAATTGTAGCGAATAGCTTTGTTTGCAGTATATGCATGGAAACAAATTCAGGTGTTACAGTGATAGGAGCAGAAGCTCCATCAGCTTATCATATGGCGCCAAGGACAGAAAATGCCAATCAGATTGGTGGTGGCGTTGGCTCAACCACAGTGGACGCTTCGCCAGTTAGTGTAGGATTAACTGGTACTACAGAAAAGAAGAAGAGAGGTAGACCTAGGAAATATGGACCAGATGGGACAATGGCAAGGGCATTGTCACCAATGCCTATTTCCTCATCTGTCCCACCCGGAGGAGGCGAGTTCTCTAGTGGAGGAAAGCGGGGGAGGGGGCGAGGTAGTGGTTACCAGATCAAGCATCAGAAGGGAATGGACATGGAGAATTTAGGTAATAAGCCTTTTCGAAGAAAATTGTTTCTTTAAATTCAAATTTTAGCATGTTACTGTTTTAGTTTGAGTTTGCCACTTGGAATCACCGGGGTTGGTATGAATTTCATGTTATAGATTTGGTAGTTAATGGTAGTGTTTCTGGTTTCTGTTTTGTTTCTTGGAGTATGCTTCAAACTAATTGCAAGTAATTCTGCATTAGGGTTTTGAAACAGGTCCCCTAATTGTTTTGGAAATATCTGAATGCCTCTTTGAAAGATTCCATATGTGAAGTCACTCGTTAATAATACTCGTTAAACTTTTTGTGGGACCTTATCAGAGATGCCGTTGTTCAGATTTGGAAGGATAATGCTGATTCAGTGAATAAGAAAGTGGCCTTTTTGTGGGGTTGGTGTGACTGTGTGAGGTTGAGGAATATTCTACTTGTGGCTGAGATTTGTTTCCTCTTGCCTTTTCATCAAGGATTTTTCAAGATGCTCCCAATGATAGAAACAGAATGAAATTTGTTAAAATAGCAAGATTGCTTGATTGGTAATGTCTTTTTGTTATCAAGGATTGAGGAGACAGAAAACCTGTCTCTATTTCTGACCTTCTGGAACCTGGTTTAAAGGGCTTTGTTGCATAAATACATTACTTGTTGATTTCATGCCTAATCTCAACCATGCAGTAGATCTATGTTAGTTTGATAAACAGGGCTAAAGTGTATATTATCACATGATTTTCTTACTTAAACAGAAAAATTACATATTTGTAAATGTTCCTTAATTGTTTTGTAGGCGAGTGGGCTGCTACTTCTGTTGGAACAAATTTTACGCCACATGTCATCACTGTCAATGCCGGTGAGGTACGTTTTGACATGGGAAGTAGCTTTGCTAATTTTTAAGGGAAAGATTCTTATGATTCATTTCTATCATTGCTAAAGACTTATGTAGAAATTCTGGGTCCATTCTGTTTTGGCTGTTAGTGATCTCACACATGGCCACTGTAAAATCTTGAAGTTTGTTTCCAATAGGCTGAACTAATATAAACAATTATTAAAATGTAATAGGCTTTACTCCGAGAATGCATGAATAATAACTTTTTATTGTGTTTGGGAGAATTTGTAGGTCTCTAAGGTGTTTGTTATCTTAGTTTTGCTTCTTGAACTATGAGATTTGTTTTTAAGATAAGGTTTTTTTTTTTTCGGCCATGATGTTAAAGATAAGTTTAGTGGTGGTACTTTTAGCTATTCTTTTCTTTACTCCATATTCATTAGGGTTTCGTTATCAGTAAATCTACAGTTTTTCTTACTTCATCTTTGATTTTATATGGTGTTTAAGGATGTAACTATGAAGGTGATATCGTTTTCTCAACAAGGACCAAGAGCTATTTGTATCCTGTCTGCTAATGGAGTAATTTCAAATGTTACACTTCGTCAGCCTGATTCTTCTGGGGGTACTCTGACATATGAGGTTAGGCAAATTAGATATTACCATCCCATTCTGAAGTATGTGGAGTTTCCAATAATATTTTTATTTCGTACGTAAGTTTAGTTTCTCACTAATGCATGCCAAGATTGTTATCATTACAGAAACTGTAGTGTATCTGTGAAGTGTTTGATTCCGGGGTGTGAATCTTGGTTTGTTGCACGATGTGCTCTGAAATTAGGTTTGAAATGATACCATGTGTTAACATTGAAAACATGTATGATTTTAATGTGTATAAAATTTGTCAAGTTATTTTCAGAAGAGACAATTCTTTATACAATACTCTTATTAATTTTAATGATTATGAGATGGTACATTGAGGAAGATGTATGCTGTTCGGAATTTACTTAATAATTCACAGGTGTAAGTCGAAGTTCCACCCAGAAAACATCGTCAAAAACTAGTAGTATTTAGGTGTGTGAAATAGTCAGTGCGAAAAAGATACAAATGTCATAAAGTTAACACAGTTGCTGAATGCTCATGATGTCAAATAGATAAGACATATTGCTTGAAGGGACTGGAGGGGGCATAACTTGCAATTATGATGAGGGATCTGTTACCATGCATCGACTAAAGTTTTTAGGATTAGTCTTAGTAACCAATGGCTCATGTATATGAGAGGAAAAAGAAAAATAGGATTTGTTTATAATCCTTAAAATAACCTTGTCTGGATTCTTTCCTTGTAGGGTCGCTTTGAGATACTTTCCTTGTCTGGATCCTTCATGCCTACCGAAACTCAAGGAACCAGAAGTCGATCTGGTGGGATGAGTGTCTCTTTGGCAAGCCCTGATGGCCGCGTTGTAGGGGGAGGAGTTGCTGGGCTTCTGGTGGCTGCCAGTCCTGTACAGGTAAGCGTTTTAGTCTTATAAATTTTCCCTTACATTTTAGAAGCAATAATATGTTTAATGTGGGGGTCTCTCTTTCTGCAACTGATGTCTAACTGATTGTCGATTCACCCTCATACTGGTAGTCTAAGCAATATGCTGAGCATCTGGTTAGACGGTAATCCTTGTCTATGAGAACAAGAATTTGCATCAGTCAACAAACATACATGAGAGTTGTGTCAAAATCGTAGAAAACTGCAATTGATCTTTGGCCATTCTTACATTTCCTGAATATGTGGTTTCTGCCATTCCAAAACAATTTAAAAGAATTATAGTCTAGAAGTATCTTGGTCTTGAACATAGTGATTAATCTTTTGTTGAATTATCAGGTTGTCGTGGGCAGTTTTTTGCCGGGCAACCAGCATGACCATAAATCGAAGAAGCAGAAAAACGAGTCCATACCAGCTACTGTTGCACCAAACCCGACTATAGTTGCTGCACCTGCATCAAATGCAGAAAAAGAGGAGGGCATACGTGTACTTTCGCCACAAAATACGAATGCTCCGAAACCAAACCTTGCTACTGCTACCTTCGGAAGAGAAAACTGGGCCACCATGCAGGAGCCAAGAAATTCAGCAACCGATATCAACATTTCTTTGCCTGCAGGTTAATTTGATAAATTACAATCATTTATCTCGGAGGCTGACTTGATCAATCCCTGATGTTTCTTTCGAACAAAAAGTGGCGTGTGTATGTGTTCTTGAATATTAATGTAGGATAAAATAGGATTAGCATTCCTGATATCCAGCTAGGTTTTAATGTCTCAGGCAAAAGACATCCTTCTTCTGATTGATGAATTTATTGATGACAACTGTCCTAGATTATTAAATCTTGCAATTATGGAGTAGTGAATTTTTCGTCAGCTTTATTAATCTGGTTTCGTTGATCATTCAACAAATAACTTGGTCAAAATCTAATGCATTCTTTAATTTTTTTCCAACATACCTGCTATCATATCATCCTTGACCAATGACCACCCATTTATCTACCTAAATTTGGTTATGGTTGAGCCACGACCAAAATTTTGTAGGTATGCAACTCAATTACCGGTTAGCTTTGAAGTTTAAATAGTAAAAAAAAATATATATATATATATATATATTTATTTTTGTTCATCTTCTCACAAGGATTGGGAGGACTTAAAATCAATAACTGCTCAAAATCATATTTGTGTCGGGTGTTACATGTTATTTGCTCAATCAAACAGCAGGATTGCAAACGAACAAATTGAGAAATGTACATGTGGTTTACCCTAAAATAAACAAATTAAGATAATTGACTAAGTGCTAGTTGTTCACATGGAGTACTATGATTCTCAAGTAACAGTATTCTACAAATGCCTTTAAGACAATGTCATCTTTATCTCAGGAATTGTTAACATGGTATTACTCCATGCATATTTCCTATGAAGATTGGCTCGAGGAAAGCTTTTGATTCAGTGCATTGGGATTTTCTGTTTAAGAATACAGAGGCCTGAGCTTGATCCACCACTGAGTCAGCTGATGAAAAAACCTGAACATGCCCAGAACAAATTGTAAGCAATGGCTGGGAGAAAAAAAAAATCACAAATTTGTAGCAAAATGTCTAATTGTATTATGAGTTATGATCCAGTTCTCATACATTATTGCTCAATACCATTGTACACCTTAATTCAAAAGGAAAATTGCAGAAAGTAAATAAGAACTCCCAGTTGGTAAACAAAGGCAGTATTCACCAAAGCCTGTTTAATAATCATCATTTCCTACAGTCCAAAGCAACCTGAAACAGATTTAAGAAAGGGACTCGATTAAAAAAAAAAAAAAAACCCAAAATGTAATTTAACCAAAAATCATTTGTCATTTGTCACATTAATTACCAAACTATAAAAATAACTAAAAGGATTATAAGATAGCCAAGTTTCACAAGTCTTTGCTTCTTTTCCCAATTCAGCTGATTATAGATCTCAGTTACATCAACCAAGTGCCTTCTCCTTCTATACCTGTTCATTCAATTACAAATATCATATCTGATCCAATAAAAAAAAAAATCATTGACGATATTTTAAGAAAAAATAATATAAAAAACTTACAATCTGAAATTATAGTACAAATATGGAAGAGACAGGAAACACATAAAAGAAGGTCCTGTCGTTAAACAGACCAAACAAAAAACAGCTTGAATTACAAATTCCGGCATCGCGACCATGTTTATCCGTGCCGCCGAATCGTAAGGATTAATGTAATCAAATTCCAAATCAGCAAAACACATCAGCTGCATGCAAAAAATGTCATTATCCAATAATTATTAACAATTAAAATTATAAAGGAGGATTAAGGTTTATTGCGTTTAAAACGACAAAAATTAGATTAAAAATTAAAGAAAAAAAAATATTGACCTGATAACTTATAATGGCGAGAAGAGATATAAGGAAGAAGAAGGTCAGGAGCCATCCGAAGAGATATGCCATGGCCTTCTTCTCTCTTCCTCTCAAATCTCAATCTCTGTATTTTTGCTCTGTTTTATTTGGTTTTTTTTTTTAATTATATTTTAATTTTTATTTAAGGTTATTCGGAATCAATTTCCATGCCGCCAAATGGGGCTGTTGATATTGGTTGAGAATTGAGAATGAGAGCTAAGAAGAAATACTGTTCTACCATTTTTCTATTTCTAATTGGCTATGTAATTAGGGTAAATTCTAATTAAGCATTTAAATAAACTTTTTTCCTGTTAACTCTTTCTTAAAAATTGTAGATTCCAAATCCGTTATCTCCCTTTTTATTGTGACTTTACATCTCACAGTTTTATTTTTTTCTTTATTATCTCATCAAGCATTTGGTACATACAAACAAAAAAAAAATCAATTATTTTTAAGAATGACAGAAGATAAATAATTTAAAAAATAATTAATTTAAATAGCATTGATGGTGTCCAATGGGGTAAAAAAATGTATCACAAGCTTTTTATTTTCTTTTTACGTATATTATATGTTTGACTTTATATTTTAGTTAAATTATTTATGAAACCAAATACTAAAATTATACTAATAGTATTGTTTTATTTGTAAAAACTAGACATATTTATGGGTATTTAGGAAAATTTACAACTTCTCTCACCGCCATTACTAGCATTGGCGCGAGTTGTACATTCTCCAAACTAGAATGTCCTTGTGGTGAATTAGGCTCAAAATTGGAGGACTTCAATTCAATTTTCCCATATAACTATTAATCTTTATTTATTAGTCCATCGGGTTTGGGTTTGGGCTAGATAGGCCTAAAACCCGACCCAAACCTCATATAAAACTTCCAGCCTTTCTTTTTTTTTCTTGTTCGTGAAGCTAAAACCAAATCTGCGGAAGTAAGTTAAAAGATTTCTCTCTCAAATTAACAATCAGACCTAAGTCTTTCTCTGCTCCTTTCACCATGACGAAGCAGCAAGCTAACTGGTCTCCTTACGATAACAATGGAGGGTATTTTTTTTTCTATCAACCTAAAACCTTTTTTTTTTTTTTTTTGCTGTTCGATGTCGTTGTTTATTGATGTTATTATTATTATTATTTGTAAATTGCAGATCTTGCGTTGCGATCGCCGGCGCTGATTACTGTGTAATCGCTGCTGACACTCGGATGTCGACAGGTTACAATATCCTCACCCGCGACTATTCCAAAATCTGTAAACTGTATGTCCTATTATCAAATCCTTTGTTTTTAGTATGGCAAAGTTAACAAGAAAATTGATTGAAAGCAATTGAGCTTTGGAGTAGAAAGTGCCTAATACTTTCATCAGTCTTTCAATTGTTTTTAGTCACAGAAAGAAGCACTAAAGGGTTCTTTTTTTTTTATATAGCAGATAAGATTTTTTAAGTCCTAATTAACAGGAATGTCAAGTTTTAGTCTTTTAGAACTGGCTGATACATTGAATAGAAGGAATTTGACGGTTTTGGGAGAAATTAAGAAGTTTTGTGAAATTTGCTAGAAAAGATAGTTGGTCATGGAATGTTTAAAGTAGTTTTGCTTCCAATAGTTGAAATGATTCAATACTTGATTTAATTTCCAGTTAAAATAGGGTATAGAAGTGGGCAAGTTTTCCAACAAGCTATCGTCATGTGTTTAATAGCTGTTTGAGTGATATTGTTATTGTTATGGTACTCTAAGGGGAAGCAATGTACATGTTTTCAAAACCAAATGGTTGAGAAAGTAAAGAAAAAATCTGGCATGGTTCATTCATTCTTGCCAGTTAGACCAAGATATGTGGTATGCATCTTTGGAAGATGACAGTTAATACTTAAACAATAGCACTTTAGTTGTTTCATCATATTGTTTTAAAGTAAGTGTTAATGAGATAGTCTCTAACGATTGACTTGAAGTTTTTCGGCTTTTTTCTTTCTTTCTTCTTCTGGGTTATTATTAGGGTCTCTTACTTTAACATTGCAGAGCTGATAAATGTGTTATGGCATCCTCGGGATTTCAAGCTGACGTGAAGGCTTTACAAAAGCATCTGGCAGCTAGGCACTTGGTAAGGTTTCAACTTTCAAAGATATGACGAAACATTCGTTTTGAACATGAATTTTGTCTTCACTTGACTTTTTGCATTAAAAACAGTAGTACAATAATTTCAAAAGACAAGGCATTTCTTTAATTTTGATTTAGCTTAGAAATTTTTGAACGAAATAATGATCAGTAATGCTTGTAAACACCTATTACAGCTAATATAGTAATTATATAATTCTAATGGTGCTTCTCCAAGTACAGATTTATCAGCATCAGCACAACAAGCAAATGAGCTGCCCTGCAATGGCTCAACTGCTGTCCAACACCCTTTATTACAAGCGCTTCTTTCCTTATTATTCTTTTAATGTTTTGGGTGGCCTTGACAATGAAGGTAATCTGTTTTGAGCCTTTGTTGCTAGTTTTAAGCCTTTCTGTTTATTATGAATACTAATTGTATAGTCTTATGTTAAACCATCAGGAAAGGGTTGTGTGTTCACATATGATGCTGTTGGTTCCTTTGAGAAGGTTGGATACAGCTCTCAAGGTTCTGGTTCAACGCTTATCATGCCTTTCTTGGATAACCAACTGAAATCTCCCAGCCCTCTCCTGTTGCCTGCCCAGGTATGGTCCTAATTTTGGATATTTTATGTTTTGATTCCTTTTACCGTATGCATTTTTTCATCTGAAACCCATGGCTTGTTGCAGGATGCCGTTACTCCACTTGCAGAGGCTGAGGCTGTTGATTTGGTAAAAACTGTTTTTGCATCGGCATCTGAGAGAGACATATACACTGTGAGTTCTATTTTATTTAGTTTCTATAAAGTTGGATGTTTTTGAATTCTGGAACAGCAATATCAATTACAACCATGTCTCCAACCAAGTCTGCTTTTAATTTATTTCACTCCCTCATGTCTTCTTGTATTAATCCCTTTCTTATGCTTAGAAGATTTCAGTTAGATCCTTCTTGAGAATTCTGTTTATTGATTTTTAATAAAGGTGCATCAAGTTTGAGCTTATTTTGGTCAGATATGCTGTGGGCTTGAGGCATGTTTAATTTATAGAGAATTTGAAAGCGTTCCATTTTTATCTGCACAAGGTGCTGATCATAAGTTTCTCAGATAATCGATGAACTCCCTTGTTACCTTCATGTTACCCACTGATAATAAATTTCTCCTCCCTAGCGCTTTGGCTTTGGACAAGTTTACCTATTACTTGTGGTTTTGAATCTGACTAATAATGTCAATTCCATCTCTAACTTTTTTTTTTTTTAAATTTGTCATGGATAAAAAGGGAGACAAACTGGAAATCATTGTCATAAATGCTGATGGGATCCGGCGGGACTACATGGATCTCCGAAAAGATTGATTGATTTCTACTCTGATCATGGATGCATCTCTTACAGAAGTGGAATACTAGAATTGATGGAATGGTCGTTTTACTTTTACCATGGTTCTGGTCTTAATTTGCCTGATGCTTGTATTCAACTATTTTCGTGATGCAGACTATGATGATGCTTAAATCATGCTGTTGACTTTATCTGAATTTATCTGCTGTTAGGAAAAAATAGACTTGGATAATGTTTCATGGATGGCATGACGCATGACTACTCTTTGGCGTTCAAATTAACAGAAATGTCATTTCACCTTTGATCATGTTTGGCATATTAGATAATGATATGCTGTCCAAAACCCAATTGTTGCAATGCGAGGGTATGGTGATGCAATTGGTATAATCTCTTTAAATTATGGAAACATAATAAATAAAAAATTATGTGTCTATGCTTTATTTCAAAAGCATGAGGCTCTGCAAGGCCACGGGCCAATTCTGTGATATGACAAATCTGACCTCTGAAACAAAATTAAAATTACAACGTTGTTTTCCCCTGATAGCCTGATCGGTTAAATGAGCATATGGAGGCTCTTCAAAAGGTTTCTTCTGAAGCCCGTCCTCTCTCTTCTAACTCCGCAAGCAATGCCTGCAAGGAAAACACGGTAGTATTATTAGTTATTTTGTGATCTAGCTTCGAAAAGATGAAGAGATATATGAGAACTTTATTTTGATTCTTTTTCTGTTGACATCAAAATCAAAGTTCCCAATCCGTGAAGCCGATCGATACTCCACAATTAGATTCTTTCCCGATGGGAACCAGAACTCGACATCATCCACAAACTGGTTAGAAAAAAAAGGTAGATCAGTTAAGCTAATTCGCATGTTGTGTTCGTTTTGTTTGGTGATGAAGAAGTTAAAATTACCCCTAATATGGTGCTTTAGTATTCCACAAACACATTGTTGTCTTTCTTCTCCACAATTTTGGGAGTATATTTGTCTGGTTTCGTTGATTTTATCTGCGATATCATTTCTAACGAGCATTGACTACCATGGACTGAGCGCAAGTAATTTCTATAATCTGTTTCGAAGTTTTACCACTTGAAGAAGCTCTTCCATTGCCACTTCTCAAGTCTCGACCTTTTCCTATTACGCCCTCCATGATACGGTTTTAAAAAAAAAAATTATTGTGCAACACAATTTTTTTTGGGGATGGTGGATATATTCAGTCATTCACCACCAGCCCAATGGCCATGGAAAAATAGAATAACATGGTTACTTCAATTTAAACATTTTGTCGAAAATTTCACTAAATCAAATTTATATATCTAAATCTAGTACTATAATTTATAAAATGTAAAATGTCAGTTTGCAATAATAATTTTTTGGGATGATACGGAAGTGTTTATGGAAGCCTACTCAAATCGTTAGATGGACCTTAGCACGTTCCTTATTGGGCTGGCTTAATCCAATTATAAGACTCATGAAAGTGACTCCAATGACTTATACTTTCATTTCAGTAACAGTAAAAAAAAAAATCATTCGTAAACAATAAATAACAAGTGATAAGAATGTTACTAATTGAATATTAAATTAGAAAATATGTATGTTGATAAAATTTTTAAAAGTTATGAATTTGAAAAAAATTTAAAAACATAATATTCTTTGCAAATGAATTAAAAAAGTGAGATAAAATTTTTAAAAAATCTAGATTTGTTCAGACCAAAAATTAATAACAGACCATTGTGTACTTGGGCAAAACTTGCTGACCCCGGGCAGGGAGAAGAAAAGCCAGAAATAGTCAACAAATTTCAAACACTATAAAAACCTATCCCATTTTCTTCTTCTTTCAAATTCTAGCTTCCGCCATAAGCTTTACCTCTCCTTCTTCCCTCAATCTCTTCTTGGCTAGCCTGGCTGGTTCGCTGGATCTTCAATGGCTCGAAACAAGGTGAAATGCCACTCCTTAAAATCTCTTTCAAACATTTTTTATTTTTTCTACATTTAAAAATATTTTTTTCTTCTAAATTCAGGATACCGCATGTTAACATTTCTTGGCTACATTCTTTTTTTCGCTAATCGTTTTCAACATTCATTGTTTTGGCTTATTTGCAGCGATATTTGTCCGTTTAGGTTTTAGGGTTTCTATTTCTTTTTAAGTAATTGAAGTTTGAATTATTTTGGAACAGGAGAAATTAGTATTGTTACTCGATGTCGGTCCATCAATGCACGGCGTTCTTCCAGAAGTTGAAAAAGTCTGCTCCATGTTAGTGGAGAAGAAGGTATTGCTTTGAAATCGATTTTCATTTAATGAACCCACACTCTTTTTGCAAATTATTATGAGATTTTATACTTTGTTGTAAATCTTGTAACAGAAAATTTAAGCAAAAATCATTTCCGATTGCCTTTTGTCTACACAGCTTATTTTCAACAAAGATGATGAAGTGGGTGTCGTAGTATTTGGAACTGAAGGTACCTCTTACATTTTTTTTAATGAATTAGAGTAACTTTAGGAGTAATTTCGGCGAATTAATTCTTGCCTCTGTATCAAAGTTTTTGTGCAAACCTTTTTTTTTTCTTTAATCAAATGTCATTGTAGCATTATTTTGATGGTGTTCCCTGGAATCTACAGAAACTAACAACGAGCTTATGGACGAAGTGGGTGGATATGAAAATATTGTAGTGTTACAAGATATCAAAGTTGTTGATGGAGATCTTATTGACATTCTAAAAAAACTGCCTCGAGGAACAGTGGATGGTGATTGTATCCGTTAATTTTCTTGATTACGCTAGATGATCTAATCTGAAAAAAGTATAGAACTGCTACTGCCTACTGCCTACTGCTGCACTATTTTTTAAAATTAATTTTCCTTCTTTTTAACTGAGATTTTGTTCATGCAATATCTCAGGCCATATTTTTTGGATAGAATTAGTATTATTGTCTAAAATTGATGGCCTTATTCATTATGAACACAAAATTTCTAGACTCAAGTCTTATGTTATTATTTTGATAGAATTTTGGTGCTTTTTAGTTATATATAGCTAAAAGTAACTTTGTGAAACAATTGTTTTTGTGGCAAATGCTATTTTAAGCCTTAGCTTTCGTAGTTCTTGATGCAATTGTTGTGGGGATGGATATGCTGATAAAGAAATATAAAGGCATATACAAAGGAAAGAAACGCCTGTGCCTTATTACTAATGCAATCCATCCTACAAAGGACTCTTTGGAAGGAAGCAAAGAAGATCAGGTTGGGACGCTCGCTGTGCAGATGACTGCACAAGGTATGAAAATGGAAAGTATTGTCGTGAGAGGAATATTAAGTCAGGATGCTAATAAGAGAATAATGGATGAGAATGATCGTCTCTTGAGTATATTTTCAAAGAAAACCCGTTCACGGACTGTGTATGTTGATAGTCCAATTTCATTGCTGGGAGCACTTAAAACCCGAAGAGTAACTCCTGTAACAGTGTTCAGAGGTCATCTTGAGCTCAGTCAGCAGATGAAAATTAAGGTGAGACTATAAGCCTGTTGCAGATGAAGTTGTCAATCATATACACTTGAATTACATTCTTTTACTGATCTCCTCCCTGGCTTTATTTTTTAATTTCAGTTTCATGGAAAACCTGATAATTTGGATCCATTAGAATAAACCTTTTCCTTAGAAGTTTTGATACCACTAGTTGTTGTTGGCTATGTTGTTCATGTATCTCATATGCATCAAATATCATTAACCTTGTTGTAATTCTTTTTAATATATACTTATATACTTCCTACACATTTGTGTCATGACAAGTATTATTATACTTTATGTGATGCTCATATGCATGGACATGGAGAGATGGTGCTTGTTCTTTTAAGAACAAATAGGTGATTTTAAGCGAATAAATCAATGAATACCCAGCATGTAGGCTTTGTAATTAACTGGGTAAAGTGCATATAATTAATTAACATACCATATGAAGCTGTTAGGAGTTTCTTCATGTTAGGTTCTCATTAGCTTTTGTGAAAAGAATACTGATGTAACTATTAATGACACGCAGGTTTGGGTTTATAAAAAAACACAAGAGGAGAAGTTTCCAACTCTGAAGAAATACTCAGAAAAGGCACCTTCAACTAGCAAGTTTGCAACACATCAAGTCATGGTTGATTATGAGTACAAAAGTGTTGATGATTCCAGTACAGTTGTACCACCAGAGCAAAGGATTAAAGGCTACCGTTATGGACCTCAAGTAGTTCCTATATCAGATGCTGAACGGGATGCTGTCAAGTTCAAACCAGAAAAGGGTGTAAAGCTTCTGGGATTTACTGATGCTTCAAACATAATACGGTAAATTTAAAGTTGCTCTATCTGGGATGAATATAATTATATACTCTGATTAAATTTGATCCAAAAGATTATTTATTCTATTGTTTTTATCCCTGTCCTTCCTGGCTTATTAATCTAAGACACTACTACATGAAAGATGTCTATCTTTTTATTGCTGAACCGGGCAATACAAGAGCCATTCTCGCAGTTTCTGCTATAGCAAGAGCAATGAAGGAAATGAATAAGGTTGCAATCTTGCGATGCGTTTGGAGACAGGGACAGCAAAATGTTGTTGTGGGGGTCTTGACACCAAACATTTCACAAAATAATAAAATTGTAGGTTTTTATCTCTTTTTCACTGCATCTTACACTTGAATTTGTTACTTACACATCCGTGCTTTATGGTTCCCTCAGTGAAACTTGTGATGCTCTCTTATTTTTCTTTGCAGCCTGATTCATTTTACTTCAATGTACTTCCTTTTATTGAGGACGTTCGTGAATATCAGTTCCCCTCTTTCAACAGTTTTCCTGCTTCATGGCTGCCTAATGAACAGCAGCAAATGGCAGCAGATGAATTTGTGCAAATGCTTAACCTTGCTCCATCAGGAAAAGAGGAAGCATTGTTGCCCGAGTTCACCCCAAATCCTGTTCTAGAGGTACTCAAATATGCATTTATTGTGTGTTTGCACTTAGTATGTTATTGTGATTGTTTTTATTTTCTGATTTTGTATCCTATGCTTGCTGGATTCTTTTAATACTTTCTGCTACACAACAAACTGAAGAATTCCTTGTGATGTACTCATTAGTGCAAATGGCTACATGGTTATCGTAGAAGTACAAAAGGTTTTCTTTATGTTGTTCAGAGAAAGAGATAATAATAAGTGAGCCACTACAGTCAGGAGTTTGCATAGGTGCCATGGTCTCCAGCACCTAGTTAGCCCCTAAATGCTATATTTGAGTTATTGTGTGATTAGATAGCATAGAAGCTGGCCACAGGCCTCTGAAAGGTGGCAGGGATATAAAATTATTAGAGTTGGGACTAAGTAACGTTTACAATTCCATGATTGTTTCTGACAGTGAAGGTTTTGCATTGCCAGCGTTTCTATCATCATCTAGAGTTGAAATCAAAGCAACCGGATGCAGCTGTACCTCCGCTTGATGAAACTCTAAAGAGGATTACCGAACCTGATCTGGAGCTTGATTTTGAAAACAAGTCTGTTTTGGACTCATTATGTAAACACTTTGAACTCAAGGAAAATTCAAAGGTCAATTCTATCTAACTGCTTTAAAATGATGGAATTTATATATTTTTGTACTTGTGTATTTTGGTATTAACTGTGATCTGTTTTCAGCTGAAGAAGTCAGCGAGGCGGTTGTTGCCTGAGAAACCATCTGGCTCAAATGGGGAAGATGGTAATGGAAATGTATCTGATGCTCGAGCTGTAGACTCCATTGGACAGGAACCTGTAGTTAAAATTGAGAAAATTGGAGATTTAACTCCAGTTCAAGATTTTGAAGTCATGATGACTCGTAGAGATAATCCAGAATGGGTTGGGAAAGCAATCAGGGAAATGAGAGATAAAATACTCAGCTTACTGACTAACTCTCATGGAGGAGATAATTATCTTGTAGCAGTGGAATGCATAATTGCTCTTCGTAAGGGTTGCATCCTTGAGCAAGTATCTCCTTCTCCCTCCCTTTGCTTCTGTTGTTGCTTCTTCCTAAATTTATTATGTGGGTTTAGGTGCTTTTGCTTGATGGTATGATAATCTTCTTAAATCTTTACAAATTATATCTGAAGGTTAGCATTGATAAGATAGCATAGTCTCCAACAAGTCAATAATAGAGATGAAAAGTTAGCATTTTCTTTCATTATGTAGACTTTGTTCACTACACAAGCCATTGGTCCTATTTTACAGTAAACATTTTCCTCTGCAGGAACCAGGACCGTACAACAATTTGATGCGGTACCTTTACCGGTATTGTCAGGAGAAAGAAATCAGTACTTTCCCTAAACTTCTTGCATCCATGGATGTCACTTTAATCTCTAAATCTGAAGCTGTTGACAGGTTCTATGTCCATGCATTCTTTGAACGCCTTATTACTTTTGTTATTTTGTTTTTTTTATAAGCCATCTAATTTTGTTTTTTTTTTAGCAGTAATTTTACTGACGATGAGGCGAGAAGGTTTTTGGATAAAATAAAGCCAGAACCCAAGGATTAGAGTTGTCTTACATATGTATTTCTTGTAGTTGGTTCTCAGGTTATTTGCAGTAAGCATCAAACTTTCTTTTGTTATAAACTATGTACATTTATAACATCTAAATTCCAGGCAGTATATCTTTGAGTTTATTTTCTCCATTTTTCTTACCCAGACTCAGGAAGTTCCTAATTTCTGTCTTGATTGTTCAAAATCTGTGCCGTTATATACAAAAATTTTCCTTTATTTTTTCTTTATTTTTCTTCTTGGTTTGTGAAAGCCTCCAAGAAAACATTTGGAGAAAAATCAGGGAAGGGACCGTAAATGAAACTTAATACTAGTGGTATATCTTATGGACATCGAAAAAGAATAAAGAAAATATTTCCTTCCTAAATTCTTTGCTTTTGGACAAACGCAGCCAAGTCTCACGTTGGGATTTTTCATATTTCCAATGGTTAATGGTTAATTAAAATAAAATAAAACAGTAATGAAACTTTTTTTTTTATTATAATTCTCAGCTGAAAATTGATTGATCTTTTTCGATTTGTTTGAGATGAGAAAACAAAAGAAACTCTCGGGTCGTGGACTGGTGGGCTTTGTTTAAAAGAAAATCTTTGCGGGCGTGACATATCTAAAGTATTCACCGCAACTAAAATTTGGGCTCGTGAGGACACGCCCACAGCTTTTAGGTCAAGTGGCTGGTCGCTTTATTTCAGGCGTCACCAACCACCTTTTTGAATTCTGAAGCTCCAACCATACCAAGCTCAGTTGAAACTCGAAAGCCAATGGCAGCCGTATGATTTTAAGAGCATATTATTTTTATTGATCCCCAAATTCCAAAAATTTGGCTTCCAAACCAAAACTTTCCTGAAAGAGAAAGCCTGGTTTGAGATGCTTTAACTTGAAACTTTTTTTTTTTTGTTCGCAGAAAGATGGTGGCGAGGTGTCTTCAAAGCTCGTTTTATATTCATACTGGCAGAGCTCCTGCTCATGGCGTGTTCGCTTCGCGTTGAACCTCAAAAGTTGATAAGTTTTATCACATTCCTTTGCCCCTATTTGATTTCTTTCTCATTAACATTTCTCTTTGAAATTGATTAATCATTTCATTCTCTTTTTACTTTCTCAATTTGATGCAATCTTCTAATCCGATTTTGTCCCTGATTTTGTGGTTACCCCCAACATTTGCTCTAAATTTAACTATGTTTTTCAGTAATTTCGGGATTATGAAATATTTTTTTTTTGGTTGAAACAATAATTTACCGGTTTTCAAGCGTGTTTTGATCAAAGGGGTATGGGTTTTTGTGGATTTGTAGGGATTTCATATGAGTACAAAGCTGTGAACCTTCCAAAAGGAGAGCAGTTTACTCCAGGTGAACTCAAAGAAGAGAGTGAGATGAGTCCTATTATTTACTAATATGTAGAGTGAAAATCCAATAAAATTATGTTTTTGTTGCAGAGTTTGAGAAGTTGAACCCTCTCCATTTTGTTCCGGTTCTAGTTGACGGTGACATTGTTGTATCCGATTCATATGCAATCTTGATTGTTAGTATTGATTGCTTGATTTTAACAGGAATAGTTTCCGTTTAAAGGGTACAATTTGCTATGGTCTTCATGTTATCGTTGCTTTGACTTTATGGTTTAAGATGGTTTTACTTAGGTCTCCATTGTTCTACATTTGAGCTGAAGTTATTGTTGTAATTCTTGCTTAGTATTTGGAAGAAAAATATCCTCAAAGAGCTCTCTTACCAGCTGATTGTCAGCAAAAAGCTCTGAATCTTCAGGTAAGTTTCTTGTTAATTGGCTTCTATCTTATTTGGAAGTCTGTATTGAGATTTTGATGACTTTCTTCTGCTACTTTACTGACTACTTTGTCATCCACAGGTTGCCAGTATTATCAGCTCTAGCATACAGCCTCTTCATATGCTGTCAATTCTGGTATATTCTGTTATATATAGACTCATTGTTGCTGATGTATTTATATTTTAATCCAATGTGTGATAGCCTCCTTCATTTTTCTTAGAAATATCTTGAGGAAAAAGTTGGCCCACAAGAGCGACTCCTATTTGTTCAAACTAGCATTGAAAAAGGTTTCCTTGGTAAGCGATTCTTCATTTTTAATTTCATTTGTCTAATTCTTAAAACTGTAACGTAGTATCTTGATGATTTAACTTTCATTTGTGTATGTGAGATTTAGTATGGACTGGGGCTCTTGAAGCCACAGTTCATATTATACATGCAAAACATCTAACTAATGATTGAAATTTGCAAAATATTGACTTAATACAGCTTGCTTAGTGGTACTTGCATGAACTCTTTTACCCCTGTTTTGCAGCTCTGGAGAAACTGCTGAAAGATTTTGTTGGCAAATATGCCACAGGAGAAGAAGTGTACATGGTATATTTTAGAGTTTTTTTCTCTCCTCTTCATATTTGATGAGTTTGTGCAAATTGACGTAAACTTCTGGTGGGAACTTAATTTAGTTGATATTAGAGCCTCAAATAAGGGATGTATTACCATTCTACAAACCTCCAAGAAAATTATTTGATCAAGACAATATCCATCTTGGCTTAGTCCTTGATGAACTTTTACATTCTACAATGCTAATTTTATATTACTAGAAGTTGTTTCTTTTTGGTTCTTGTAAGTTACTCTTTCCGGAAGTTCTTTTCTTTCTCTCTCTCACATATGTACTTATACTCTGTGAGTTCATGATCATTTGACTTTAGTTTTGATGCTTTATTTTTAGTTTTAGACTGTTATTCTTCCCATCCTTTTTATCCCTTTATCAACAATCTGGCTTTGTCATTTGCAGGCTGATGTATTTATGGCACCTCAGATTGCTGTGGCTACAGAACGGTTTAAGATTGAAATGGTAAAGTAGTCTTTCTTGTTTATCCTCATCTTTATTTTGTTTTCCTTAGGTTATGATTAATCGCATTTAAATGCCACTTTCATGCTTCATGAACAAATGTTTGTTACACGAACATGAACAGATGTTTCTGCACATATTTTTCAACCTTCTCTTCTTTTCTAATCTCACCCTCTTTTAACAAGATTCAATTACTGATACCTGACATACTTACCTCAGCTTAAGGATATTTCAGTATGATATGTGGCATGTCAGGGAAATAACTGCTTGATGTATGTTCAGTGTATTTTCTTTGCATATGCGAAAAATAAACATTTATACTGGTTTATGCAGTCCAAGTTCCCTACTTTAAGTAGGATATATGAATCTCAAAAGGCATTACCGGAATTCGTAGCTGCCTCCCCTGAAAGACAACCTGATGCTGTGCAGTAATTTTGGTGAGTAGTTACAACCACAGCTTAATGCTGAGAAGTCTAAAATCTTCAAAGACTATACTGTTTCTGCTATTTGTTTTAAGTTACTATTCTAAGATTTTTTAAGCTACAGAAAACCCCTGAGATATCAAAAGGTAAATGTGTCTATGTTGTCTAAAATCTAAATCAGCAGTATTGAAAGGGTCAAACTAAAAAAGTTTATATAAACACAAGTAAGCTGCATATCCGATGAATGCTCTCCCGCCAGACTTTGGGTCCTTTCACATGTTTCTTCTTTTAATCCACCTTGTAAATTGGTACTCCTTCTTTGTCTAATTTTTTTTATATTTTATTTTACTTTTATATTTTAAAGAGTTAATGTTACAAATGAATTGATTTACAATAAAATATTTAATGTGATATTTAAATTTTAAAAATTTTTAATGTGATATTTAAATTTTAAATTTATTAATTAATATGATATTTATTTTTAATGTGATTAATTGACATGTGGTGGATAAAAAATTTTTCAAGTACTGAATTATTTAACAAATTTATAATATAAGTATTATATTAAAAGTTTTTGAAACTTATGTATTATATTAAACATTTTATTATAATTTAAAAATCATTTATAATATTATTTTTATTTTAAAATTAATTTGTATTTATGGTTTTTTTTTTTTACATTTAAAATTATAAAACATCAATTTTATAAAAAAAAATAATTTTAATGTTGAATATCATACATTTTAAAGTTGTCAAAGAGGTAAAAATATAGAAGTCATGCTTTAATTTATGTATTCATTTTTTTAAAAAATTCAATAAATTTAAAATATAAATTTAATTTTTTTATTTTATTATTTTCAGATTGCGGCGTTTTAAGTACAATCATATTATGACGAATTAAGTAAATTTTAGTAGCCTACGGCTGGCAATGGAATTTTATAGAATCAATAAGCAATCAGTGCAGTGAATGCTAGAAAGCATTTTTAGTGAGCGTTGACATTTGATCGTTGAAATCTATGACAGAAATTAAAATTTAATATTGTTTTGATTAGATCAAATAAAAATAATTATTTCATAATTGCACATTTTTATTAAAATCCCGTGTTCCATTCCAACAAGGAAGATCCCATTGCTGCACCGTGAAAATTCAAGTCAACCCGACAAATGAATCGTAACTTAATTTCAAAGTAGATTTAAAAATTAAAGTAAAATGCAAGCGATCCAGCATCCAATCACACGAAGGAGAATCAATACTAACATTGTACGAAAACAGAGGTCTTCATCATATCATAGAATTCCTAATTATAAGCAAAAATAAAATTGTAAAATTCAAATTTTGATAATTAAAATTATAAATTTAATTATTTATTAAGAAATCATGCGACGGACTTCTAATCGTTACAACCGGTCAAAATTCTTGTAACCTAAACAAAAGAAATAAAAATTCCAAATGCGTAAGGATGTAACCGACTTCTAATCGCTATAATCGGTCAATATTTTTGCAACCTAAACGAAAGAAAAAAAAAATTCAAATGCCCTAGGCTCTACTTCAATTGTTTGAATTTTTCAAGTTAGAAAAAAAAAATCATTACTATAATTTTTCATTAACGCGAAACACCAAAAAATTTTTTTGTTTTTTCTTATATTGGTCAAACGAGAAAACTCTCATACTGTTGCAGCGTGCAAGTTAATTTTATCTTTGTTTGATTGTTTCAAACTTCAATTATAAAAGAAACAAAACGTAGAGTATTAGGTTTTTCTTTTGTACATCACGCTCTTGTCTTATTATTTTCAATTAAACCATTAATTTAATGGCAACTGAATTTATGCTACTATTTTTACAAATGTCATTTTCTAGAAAGCTAGTTATATATATGGAATAATCAACCAAAATTTTCTTTTGATTTAATATTTATATTCAGTCAAACTTTTCCATTTATCCATCCATTTGGTTTCCATTCCAAAAATCCTTATTAAAAGATGTCAAGTGTCAATATTTGTGCTAATAAAATATTAAATTATTAATTTTAGTAATCAAACTCAAATTTTAATAATTTCAAATAAAAAAACTAAATTATTTGAGGTAATTAAGACATGATGGATCAAAAAAAGTTCGAGTAAGATAGATGGAATAGGAAAACTCAAATTGTTTTGATAAAATTGAAAAAAAAAATTCAAAAAGAGCTCAAGAAGAATTGGATAAAATCCTGAAAACCCTAAATAAGCTAAATAAAGGAAAGGGGTGGAAGAAGTTCCAAGTCAACCACAGCGGCTTATGTAAGATGTAATTGATTTTCTATACCCTTCAAGTTCAGCCCTTATTAAGGCCAACCTTCTTAAGGGGCACAAGCAAATTTCCCTGGGACCTATCCGTACACTAATCTAAGAATGCAATATATTATTGTATAAGGTCATTTCCAAAGTTATGTTAAGCCAGTCTTTAGAGAGAAGGCCTTAGAACCATTCAAATCCCTGATTTGGATGACTTAAAAGAAAAAAAAATTGAAATTAAAAATGGTCGAGCCGTTAGAGGACTCAAAAGTTGACTAAAAAATGAATATACTTGAGGAAAGGTTGTGAGTAGTGGAGAGAATAGCTTTTTATGGTTCAATGGATGTTGTTGAGCTCTGTTTAGTCATAAATGTTGTTATTCCTTCAAAATTCAAAGTTTAAGATTTTGAGAAATACAATGGTACAAAATGTTTGATAACTCATATTATCATGTATTGTCACAAAATGATTGCTTATACTAGTAATGAAAAGCTTTTGATGCTTATATTCCAAGATAGCCTTATTGGCTCTCAAGTGAGATAGTATGTCCAGCTAGACATGACCCATATTTACTCCTTAGGGAGCTAGCCTATGATTTCATTAGTCAATATTAACATATAATAGATCTAGTTCTTAATTGTCTTTTCTTGCAAAATATAGAAAAAAAGATGATCGAAGTCATTTAAGAAGTATGTCCAAAGATGGAAGGATATAATTACATAAATTCAACCACCTTTTATTGAGAAAGAGACTCTACCTTTGACTGAGAACAAGAATATGGTGCTTTTTGTAAATATTTTGAAATCTTTTTATTATGAAAAGATGATAGGGTATGCAACAAAAAATTTCACCATTATGGTGATCTTGAGCGAAATCATTTAAATTGCCATCAATAATAATAAGTTGGAAGGAGAAGAATCTTCCATTAAAAAAGCACCTAAAAAGAAAGAAACTATAACTCAAGCTGTGGGTTTTGAAAGACAACAATTTCGAAACTATTAACCCTATCCACCACCAATCTATCTCACATACTACCCCACTATAAATAACACCATATCTTAACCATACTAGCCAACTACTTAACCATCTTATCCACCCACATATAAGCCATCTTTTAGGCCACAAACTTATATGAACGTTCTAACTTCCAACCTCTTGAAAAACCCCCCAATCCATCCTATTATAAGTTACAATCACAGTATTAAAATACAATTTGACAAATATAACATAAAATTAAATTAAACTATGAATGGTCTAACTCCCAACCTCTTGAAAGACCCTCCAATCTATCCTATTATAAGTTACAATCACAATAATAAATATAATTTGACAAATCTAACATAAAATTAAACTAAACTCAAATATAGTGATACTTAAATTTAAAACCATAGAGTTTTAGATTTTCCTATTTATCACTAAGTCAAAGTTTCATTGCCAATTGAATATTAAAATTCTAAATGTTATATAATAAAAATTTATATCTAATTCAAAATATATCTCAATATTTAATCTAAAAAACTAATTCAAATTATTTATTTGATTAATTTTATACCATAATCATTTCAACACATTTAATTGACCAATTTGAGTTTGTTGAAAATATATATCTCAACATATTCATAGCATCTTTCCGAAAGGAGAAAAAGTAAAACATGCAAGTTTCGTAATACCATAAATCTTTTGCAATCTCTCACTTGGAAGGATTTATCTTTTTGTCTGACTTCAAAGCAGCCCATTCCTTCCTTGATACTTGTCGCCCTTTTTCTCACTATATATGAAATTTCTTCTGGATATATATTTAGATATATCTTTGTATAGGTAGAGTAGTGAAAATGCTTCCTTATCAAAGCCTTGAAGAAGCAGCGTTGGGTGTAGGAAGAAATCTTACGCTGGCAGAGAAACTATGGTACAATTATTCAGCTGAGAAATCTGACTTCCTTCTTTACAGTCACAATAGTCTTTTCATGATCGTGGTCTTTTCCTTGGTTCCTCTCCCCTGTGCATTCATGGAGCTGAATCAGTCAAAGAAAATGGCCAAGTTCAAGATTCAACCAAACGTCAAAACATCATTCTCCGATATGTTTAAATGTTATAAACATGTTATGAAGATGTTGATTTTTGTGTTGGGTCCTCTTCAGTTCCTTTCCTTCCCAGTCGTTCAGGTATAGTCCTAACTCCTAAGTCCTAACCAAAGATTGGTGGCGACAGACAGGGGACAGCTTTCTCTTATGCCAGGACAGGATCTTTGTTGTTGTTTTTTTAATAAAACTTACTTTTTATCTGCTTTAGGACTAGAAAATATTGTTTTTTTTTTTTTTTTCGGGCGATCAACTAACGAATGAATTATAATTCCAAATTTCAGTAGTAGAATTTGGTTAATTTGAGGTGGTTTCTTGGTGTTATGCAGTGGGTAGGGATCCATACAAGTTTGCCATTGCCATCAATGTGGGAGATTTTAAGCCAGTTGATAGTTTACTTTCTTATAGAGGACTATGCCAGCTACTGGCTTCATCGGCAACTGCTCCATAGTAAATGGGGCTACCAGAAAATCCACTATATGCACCATGAATACAAGGCTTCATTTGGATTTACAGCTCTTTACACCCACTGGGCAGAATTTTTGATTTTTAGTATTCCGACGTTTCTTGGTCCAGCAATGGTTCCTTGCCACATGATCACACTCTGGCTTTGGACCAGTTTGCGCCTTGTCGAGGCAATTGAAGCACACAATGGGTAAATTAATCATTGATTTTACATTTTATATTTAAATTTAAATTGTTTATATTGTGCACCAATTAATGATAATGCAGGTATGAGTTTCCATGGAGTCCGACCAAATACATACCGTTTTATGTAGGTGCTGAGTACCATGATTATCATCACTATATTGGAGGACGAAGTCAAAGCAATTTTGCTTCGGTTTTCACCTACTGCGATTTTATTTATGGAACCAATAAGGTTTGCATACAAATTAATTAACATTTACTTCGGCTTCTTTTTCTTTTTACTTATATTAATAGTATATATACTATTGAAAATTTGAGATATAGATAAAATAATTTTGACTTCTTCTTCTCCTGACTAAGCAGGGATACCGCCATCACAAGCAAGGCCTAGAAAAGGCTCCATAACCACGATGCATAGTTTGCAATTGTCAGCAAATTGTTAATAAATAAAAATTTGGAATTGCAAGTATTTTATGTGTTAGTGCAGAACAAATGAAATAATGTTTAGTCAAATTAAAGTTGGCAAATTTCAGATATTGATGATACATAGTAGTAGTATCTAATTTTTACTGTGTAATTAAAGGGTAAGTGGAGAAGTGGCAGCCAACATATTTCGTAAGACTTAAAGTTAGAGTAGCCGTTGTGATTTCATGAGTAAAATTAAGATCGATCTTGCCCACATACCGCTTGAATTTTTTTTGAAAACAGATTCTTGTTCTTCCAAACATGTTATATGAAGTTATTACCTATATATGGAGTCGCGACTCGGGGATGGAATCCATCGTATTTACCTTTTTTCTTTGTATGTCCAGAACGATACATCCAGAACTCACCATCAAAAGCCCGTCTAGCTCAGTCGGTAGAGCGCAAGGCTCTTAACCTTGTGGTCGTGGGTTCGAGCCCCACGGTGGGCGTCGTTTTTTAATTCTTAACGACTCATCAACATCAACCAATGGGCAGGGACGTAGTACCAGGCTACCAGCAGCACTACCAAAAGTTTTCCATGTTGCGGGCCAATTGTTCGGCCTCATTAGAATTAGATCTTGCGGATATCCACAGCCCACAGTCTAGTATAGCGCAAGGCTCTTACCCTTGTGGTCGTGGGTTCGAACCCCACGGTGGGCGTCGTTTTTTAATTTTGAACGCCTCATCAACATCAGCCAATGGGCAGGGACGTAGTACCAGCAGCTCTGCCAAAAGTTTTCCATGTTGCGGGCCAATTTTTCGGCCTCATTAGAATTAGATCTTGCGGATATCATATCCACAGCCCACAGTCTACTATATCATCCTTCACAAAGTATTATACAGATAATCTTTCCCTTAAAAGGAAGCAAAACATTTCTCATTAAAAGAAAATTTAATAATTCATGCTAATCGTGTGTTATCGAAAAAAAAGAAAAAAGAAAAACTAAAGAAAGAGAAACAAACATATAGCCATATCGTATAAGACTCTTGAAGCAAATTTTCAGTAACACAAGACTATAAAAGCAAATATATGAACGATTCCTCTTTATCTGCTCCAATCCTACCTACAAGCATCCCACCTTTTTCCGCAAGAGCTACCTATGTTCACTCATTAAGTTTTTAACACTATTGAAGTTAGGACTGTTGAGCAGATCTAAAGTGCATCCACAATTATTATGCCTGGGCTCCATGACGGTGAATGTAAGAATTTGCTTACGAAGAATTTACTGATGGTGCTGCCCACAACTTCACTTTCTTGTCCACACTTGCCGTGGCCAGAACCACCACTTGTTCATTTCCTATAAAACAATATGTAATAGTAAGAGATATAATCAACTGCAGATAACTCACACAAGTGGAAAATAAGTTTTACCTAGTGGTATAGTCTTAGGTGACCATGAAATCCATGTAATATCAGCTGCAGCATAAAACTGAGGTCAATGCCAGGATCACAAATAGCATTTCCTAATCAATATCAATCAATCATACAAAACAGTAGTGGGGCACTAAAGTGTTTAAAAAGAAAGAAAGAGGAGGGGGGAGGGTAAGCACCATAGGGCATAGCCACTGCAATGTTGAACCATAAAGCATTAGCACCATGTAATTAAACTATGTATGTCCAAAACCAAAAACCAGAATACTTAGGCATGACATCATTTCTATAGATTTTTATGTCAGAATATGGTATTGATGTAGGCAAAATAAAAATTTACTGCACGGTGATGTACCATCATGGGCCTTTTCAGCTGTATGCAAAACCTTTCCTGTTTCCACGCATAGCCACTGCAATGTTGAACCATGAGTTGTTGCCAGTATCTTTCCATCAGGGGATAAACTGAGACGATCATAGTGCAAAGTAGAACCACTTGAATCATGAAGTGGTATTGGAAACACCTTCAGAGTTTTTGGATCCTCATCAAGATGATATCGAACTTCAAAAAAGCATTTAGAACAGTCAGCAGGCACAAAATAATGACTACCAATACAAGAAACAGAAATAGCTATCAAACAAGCTCATCTTAGGCATAAGAATTTGCAAATTAACTTTTTATTAGAAAGGAAAATCTTCCCAACCACAAAATCTTCTTCTAAAGACTAGTCATGCCTTTCAAATTTATGGAGAATATTATTACTAAATTCCTCTTCCACCTCCCATCCCCCCTCTATCCCTTTTGTAATGTTAGGCTTGGAGAAGAAAGAGGTTGGAAGTGGAAAAGAAAATAACCTTCATAAATTGATTTTTTTTTTTTTTTTGTATGGAAGCCAGTATGTGCATGTGCATGTAAAAGAGGGAGAAAACAAAGGGGTGTACACCGACCATTGATGTTCCAAATTCTTATTGAACCATCCTTGGATGCTGTAATAATTTGCTCTGAGTTTGGAGAAAAGCATAACCAACTCACTGCACTCTGGACATTTAAGAAAAAGAAACACAAAAAATGAAGAAGTTAGAAACAAATAGGAATTTCAAGTAAGGTCTTAAAGCTATTACTTCCAAATATGCCACAAAAAAAAAAAAGAAAAGAAAAGAGATACATTAGTCAATAAAAACCAAATGAGTAAAAAATCATTCTCTGTTTGGATAAAATAATTCAAACAAAAGCAGGAATTTTCATCAATACTAAGTACCATAAACATAGGACTTCGTAACATTTTGGCACTCATTCTCCAATATAAATTGTCATAAATGTTCTGAAAACCTCTAACAGAACGTATTGCAACTTGTGACATGACAGAAAAGATACAATTGAACAATATGAACTCATTGAAAGATAGCAAATAAGCTTTAGGATTATGGGTGAAATCACATGCCTTGTGCCCTTTAAGCTGCATAACTTTTGAAACCTCCTTGACTGAACCATCCTTGGAATATACAATCTCCCACACCTGCCAAAGCAAATACTAATACTGAGCACGATAATGAACATGTAAGATAAAACACGGAGTAACTTAATGCTTTTCTGTACCTATGAACCAAAATATAGGATGGAATCTCACTTCACTTCTATATGATTTTATTATATATGCAGCACATTCATGCCCATACTATCTGTATATGTAAATTCAAAGAAACTAGTATGGTCATTTCTACCAAGTACTGCTTAATATCCAATATCTGCCAACACATAAATGCACAACTGAATTCTGTAATGCACTGTGTGATTATGTTAATCTCATCATGTTCATGGTGACAGAATCTTAATTCGAGAGTTTAGCAAAATGGCAGTGATAAACAATTTCAAGTATTAAGATGCAAACTTTAGAATTTCCACATATTGATCACAGTCTTGCTATTGTGTTACAAATACAAGGGAACTTAAAGATCCAACCTTTACATCCGCTGTAAAGGCTGCAGCAGCAAGAAAACGGCCATTTGGTGATATAGTGGCCATATTATTTTTTAACTGATTAGTGTCCACATGCCCTAAAACTTTTCCAGTTCTTCCATGCCACAGTATGATATCAGTCCCTGTGAAGTAACAAAGAGTTACTTAAATTATATCCAAATAAGTCTATGTTGTCTGATGTGGATAGACCGTTACCATATACCTTCAGAACAAGAGGCAATAATGGTACTCCCATCTGCAGTTCCATAACTTGCAGTAGATCCAGTTAAGGTCAGGATTGCTTGTTTCTCGTGGATTTTGTGATGTTCCCACTTAATTTGGGGAAGAGGAAGCTTCGTCTGCTGCTTGGATTCATTATTAGCTTTTGGTTTTTCTTCTCCATACATATACAAGGAACAACCAGTCAGAGTCTGAGAAGCCACAACTACAGAAGATGCATCATCAGAAAATGCAACAGCTATTGGATGACCTCCAGCAGGCAGATTAATTCTTAAAAACCTGCAAAACAGTCGCACAAAATAAAATTAAAAGAGACAAGCAAAAAAAAAAAAAAAGAAAGAATTCACAAACGGTCTCTACTAAAGTCATCACTATGTACTTGAAACTTTTACTCGAAGCATCTTCCAGCTTATACACCCTCACCATTCCATCAGCACAAGCTGTCCAGAAACATGAGAAACAAATTTAAGAATGAAAGATCCCATGAATCTAAATATATAAAAGTATTACTATTAAATGACATCACCAACAAAGGAGAAAATAAGACTCAATTACCTGTTGCCAAATTACGACCGTCGGAAGAGAAACACAGCCCTGTGACCGAATCCGCATGACCTTTAAGAGTATTCAAATCCAATGGATGATGACGCTTGTTTTGATCCTACATTACATAAATAAAAGCAAATTTTAGTCAATTTCTATAATTTTTTTAAGAAATAAGTGCTAAAATCACCCGACTAAACCCTAAAAATATTAGAATATCACCAAAAAAAATCCCAAAATTCCGAGGTGCTAACTGCTTTGATAATTCACTTTTGTTTTTTGTTTTGGGGAATATTTATTTAAAAATCATGGGAAGTAAAATTAAGAAACGAAACCTCAAGTTTTGTTTGTATCCCTTTCTAATTTTGATACGCAATAAAACAGAAGAGGAATAAGAAGGGGGGAATACCTTATCAGAGGCATGAGAGTGAGATTTAGAGTGAGACTTTTTAGAGATGGGTTGAGGCGGCTTTGAAGGCTTTTTGGAATCCGAATGGAGCTCCGGTTTCGCAATGGTCTGGACTTCCGATCTTTGTTTGAGAAGGTAGCTTTTGAAGAAAATGAATGCGATCACAGCTCCAAGGACAACTGAAAGCACCGCAACTAAAAGAACTGGATCCATTGGCAAGGGAGGAAATACAACAGTCTTTTTTTCTTTTTTGTTTTGGATAAAAAAAAAGATAGCGATTACAGTGGGAGGAATCGAAGCCTTGGGAAGTGGAAATAGCAGGGGAGGTGTCGAGTTTGTGGTATTCGTTTCGCCCTGGGAATATGGATTTGGATGCTTGGGTGTTCCGTATGCAGTGTGCACTGAAAAACAAAAGCTCTTGAATAAAAAAATGGACAAATCATCCTTTGTATTATAAAAATAAAGTTTAAAGAAGCCCATACCTTATTTACCAAAAACAAACAAAAAATAGAAACCCATCCTTAAAAGCCCAACACTTCAAGCCCATCCTTTTTTTTTGTTAACGTGGTTTTTTTCCTGTACCTGAATTGTTTTATTTTAGTTGAAGGAATGAGGAGACTCAGGCGGGGGAAGGGGTCCAAAGGGATGCATTTGGCAATATAGCCAGCCAAATTGCATTTCATCATAGAAGGACTCAACTGTGTAAAACAAATTTAATGTGTGTGGGCCAGCCACATTCTGGTTGTCCGGACTGCAGACGTTACTCTACCTGCAAGATGACATGCCCAACAAATACTTCCAATGAGAACTATTAAAACTGTAGACACTTTTCACCAGGGTAGAAAATGAAATATATGCCAGAAATATATCACTATCACAGTAAAAAAAAATGGAGGTGCTCCATATAATTCCACAGTGCTTCAATTAAACATTTAAATGCTTCAGGAAAACTATGAATTGATGATCACATAATGGCTATTTGAAACTGTGGGGCATCCAAATTCCCCCCTCCCCCCCCAAATTTTGTGATAAAATTGCCTCTAACGCGAATTGCCTCTCAGAATCAAATTATATTTTCAAGAGGTGATAACTGTACAGACGTGAAATGGTACTTGCTTTTCCAACATTTTAAACTCCCTTTTCTAGATACACCGAGTAAAACTGCTCAAGCGCTCGTCAAATGTATTCAACCGGCTGCTTCCTCGAGATGGCAGTCGTACAAATCGGCTGGCATTGGACAAAATCCATGATAGCCAGAATTCGATCTCACCAAAAGTTCGGTTGTGGGGTAAACCTTGGAGAGATCCCTTTTCTGACAGCAGCTTCAGTTTCTACAACATTAAGATAAAATCATTACAAAGCAATAATTAGAAAGAAAAAGGAAAAACATAGATCAGATAGTTAAAAAATAATATGAACAGGATCATTTTACCGTAATATATTGTGGAGGATCATCTAAACTAGAAGAGCCTAGGATAACTTCCCTCTTCAATTTTGCTGTGAGCTTGTAACATACTCTTAGTTGCCGGTAGCAACGGAAGCCGTCAGGTAAACAATCCCCAGCCACAAAAGGGCATAAATATAAACATCAGGTGAGATTCAAATCTTAACACAAAGCCAATTTGAGGAATTCGGCAGCAATTTTACCTCAGATTGAGTTGCCTCGCCAATAATAAACAAAAAAAATTCGCTGTCCCATCCTCTTGAAATCAGCAACTGCATTCTTCAGAACTGAATCACTCCAAAAGGCACCGAAGAGTTTTAGGTGCTTGAGACTCCTAAGCATGGCAAAAAAATAAGGTGTTTGAAATTCCAGAATTACAAAGTTAGATGTAATAAATAGATGGGACAAGAGTAAGGGGAGATTTTAATTTAGCCAGTAAAAACAACTACTGTTCAGACTTCAGACAAAGCCCCAGTATAAAAAGCTGAGATTTTGAGCTGTAAGGCCACCAGGAATATCCATCATCAGAACACCGACGCTGAGCCCACGATACTGTTCGTCTTGATCTCTTTGAATGGGCAGACCTTTTTTCTGTAGGTGCAGCTGGAGTTGGTACTGTCCTCATTGAGCCACTTTGGGATTTGTCCTGAGCATTTGTACTTGGTTCATTGATACATAAATAGTCATTCTTTGGCAGGTCACCTTCGCTAAGATTTTCGATGAGCTCCTGTCAGGGGAAAAAAGTCAACTGATACCATTTGATTTTATGCATAATGCAATAATAGAGAACTTCATGATCGAAAGAAATTTCTTGTTTTATGGTGTCCATTCGTGTGTTCGAGTCCTATTTAGAAAGGGTCTCTATAACCAGGAATATTTCCATGAAAAAATCTGTTACACCTCTAAGTTTGTATAACATGCATAACAGAGCATACGATTGGAGTAATGGAGGTCTTTAACAACAATATATAGCATGCAATAACAGTTAATCAGACACTTATTTTCTATAAAGTCAACCATAGAGGAGAGAAGAATGAGAGATCTATTCCTGGGAACGAGCACACAAGTCGCGGAGGCTTGCCAAGACAAAATATGAAGAAAGACATTGATATGAATCGCATATATTGGGAAAAACAGATAAAAGATAAACCATACCTCTATAATGGGATAAAATCGAAATAGTTGCCAAGTTTCTTCGTCTGCAGTTCAGTCTTTTCTTCTTCTTGTTTTGTCTGAAATTAAATCATCATGGGGTAAATGCAGGATCCTACTCTGATTTTCAGTTGTCTCAAAGCTACTTGGCATACCTTTTGGCCATCAAACTTAACTGAGAAACTAGTGGTTGCCTTTTTATTTTGTGATGATCCTCCAAGTAATTGCATATTGTTCACAACTTTCATATCCTCAGGTGATAATCTAGCCAACTGATGAATAAATAGAAAGAAAAAAAAAAAAAAAAAAAAAGTTCACTTTAGTAATTTTAATAAAGTCATTAATTTGTCTTGGTAAGCAAATTGAACATCAAATTGTCTCGAACCTACAATTACAATCTACAAGTCTGTTAATGAAACATATGGAATCAAAACTTGAAAATCATTTAACTGTAGTGCAAACTAGAAACAGGTCAGAAAGCAACTAGGTTAAATTAAGAATAGACCAAATTTAAGAATAAGTATTACCCAAGCAACAATCAGAAGAGCAAGCCAGTCAGTTGCTTCAAAACATAACTGATTAATAGGAATGCAGTGGCTCCTCAAATTTCTCGGGATATACAGATGCATAAATCATCAGCAAGCGCAATTTATTTTCAGGAGATGCATCCTGTATGGATTAAAAATTTTTAATGTTATGAGATTTTAAAAAGATAAAGGAAAGATCAATTGTACAATATAAAATGTTGTCTGACCACTAATCCGTGGCATCACTGCTTTGTCCTCAGAAAGTTGATGACATCCTTTGCTCCTGCATCTCCAAAAACAAGATCCTATTCTAGTTGTCCAAGCTCACGAAGCCCCATATCCCTGACAAGTTTGTTGATTGTTCCAGCAATCTGTAATGAAATAACAGTCAAAACAATCAGAAGAAACATCAGCGTCTTATATAGTATGGCATTCAACAAGAAAGTGGCAATTAGAAGGGAGAAAGACCTTATTTCAACAAGAAAGTGACAGTTAAAAAGTGAGGCATTCAACAAGAAACAAACCTCCACATGGAGAGAGAGCTTTTCAACTATTTCATTATATTGTGGCAAAGCTTGCACAATTTTCTGCATGTCTCGAGTGGAGAATTCACTACCATCTCTGCAATGAACCAAACTTCAATAAGGAATAGTTGCATGAATACACAACTTAATTCAGTTTACAATTTAGAGAGATATAAGATGCGATGTAAAAGTAAAAACATTTTTCACTTTCACACTTGAAACTAACCCTCAAAAGAAGCATCTAAATTTTCCAGCAGATAGTTACATCAGATACATAATTTCTTATCATTTCATCAAGTTCAGCAGTAAAGCTAGCCGCTAACCTTGAGCTCTGAACCTGTGCGGCTTTGTTCCTTGATTTAAAGTTGGTCATCTTATCATGCAAGCGCTCACTTGCCTAACACATCAATTATGAAAGAGAGCATTATATTTATATTCTTTCCAGAAAAAACAGAATATAAGAGAATGAGACATACATCTGCTATGCGTGCATGACAAAGCTCCAGCCAAACTGGATCATGATCTTCTAGAAGGACCTCCTTTTTCTCAGGTGGGCCGCCTGATTTGCTAGGAACCTAAGAAAACATGTGTTATTCTTATATGAGAATAAAACGAAATTAAAAAGAAATAAAAATAAAGGAAAGAAGATTTTTCAAATCTTCGCAGCAAATTAACAAGAAGACTTACCTCTAGCATATATTTGTTTCCATCCATATCAAGTACATCATGGCACATAAGATTCTTCAAATCTTCGCAGGAAATTAACAAGAAGACTTACCTCAGGCATATATTTGCTTCCATCCATATCAAGTAAATCGTGGCTTAAGGCATCATATGTCCATTCATGTATCACAGGAGCAATCTAAAAATGCAAAGTGCCATCACATTCAACAAAATCAACCAACACGATTTAAATAGAAAATCATTCCATAGGAAATTATACTTAACCTGATCGACAGATCTATCCAAGATGAGCAGCTCACTCGTTTCAATCTAAGGAAAGTTGGGAATAAATTTGTACTTCAAAATACAATTCCAAACAGCTTCAGCAATCTTAGAAGGAATTAAATCACGGGTTGTCGCTGTAGATGCATTTTGTGTCTTGATGGCACGATATCGTACAAATGGAAGCTCCAAAGAAATCCAAACCCAGTTAATCTTTTAATAATAAATATTATTTCATTTCAAGAAAAGCATTGTTTTTACAAGGAAAATTGCCATAAATAATTCAAATGTTAAACGTCCAAGGCATATAAAGAATAAAATGTAAAACCTACAACACCTGACAATATGTGTAGGCATCATAGTTGCTTGCCAATTTCTTATATAATTCATAACTTCAACAAGGCAAAAACTGTGGCAATTCGAGTTGCCATTTGGTTCGATCAAACTTCAAATTTTGGTGACTTCTCAGCATCTTCATTAAAGAGTTCCTCCAAGGCTGTTTCATGATCAGTGATAAAACCCTGCATCATAAGGTCTTGGTGGATAACATATTTTAAATACACTTTCTAATGACCATTAGCTTGCTCTTATTAGGCCCTAATCCAAACTCATGAACAGTAGCGGATCTAAGATTTCAAGTTAAAGGGGCACAACAAAATAATAATTGTAGTTTGAAAATTTTCTCTTAGCATATAATATGTTATTATTTTATCAGAAGTTATAAAAATTTTAAGTAAATATGACATTCCATAATGTAACCATAAATAAGATAGACAAAAAATTTAAATATTGAAATAAAAAAATATAACTATTTAACAAATACATTTATTTTTTAATTTTTAATGAGAACTAAAATATAATTTTAATACTTTTTACAAATTAGTTGGAATTTGAGAATTGAAAATTTTTTTGTCTTAAAAGTTTTTTTTTTTTTTTTCGAAATGTCAAATACAAATTAGAATTATAGTTAAATATTACATAACTAAATAATCAAACAAATAAACTAATCAATAAATTAGAGTATAACTAAACAAATCCAACATAAAATTGAAATAAATCTACATACAATGAAACTTGAACCTAAAATCTCAAAGTTTTAAACATCTATAATCACAAAGAACAACTTTTTATATTTTCAAAAGAGCCATTTTTAATTTTTAAAAGAAACACTTATAAATTATATGCATTACATCAATATGTATTAAAAGGCTTAAAAAATATTTGGAGGGCCATGGGCCCATCTGGTTTCAATGTGGCTCCGCCACTGCTAGTGAAGTCAGTGGCACAATTAGTATGAACTCTATTGGGCAGAAAAACATGAGTGATTCCAGTCCTAGCACACAATGGTTATACCTTCAATAATCAATCACCTGGTTTATGTAAACTCAAACTTCAAGGGTAATAATTTATGGTACGTGAACCATAAAGAACTTAGCATTGACGAGGACATCTGTGTCATTTAGAAAAGATAAAGTTTTTAAATATCATAATAAGGCGAATATAAACGATTCCAAAACTAGATAGGTTATTAAGAATCTGCTGTAAATAGATAAAAGGCATAGAAACAAACATAAGAAACGATAAATTTTGTTGTCTTACCTGACTATATATAGGAAAGTATTACAAATTCATATGAATAATTACCAAACAGGAAAGATGATAAATTAAAAAGGAAGAATCTAAAGTACATAAAACACCAAAGAACAAGTAAATGTTGCAAGAACTAATATAAAAAGAAAATTTGGACCTCTCTCAATGCACTTATGAGAGGTAAAACACTTTAGTCACTTTTGATGTAATTAACGAATTCCTTTGGAACAGGTGAACAGAAAAATACAAATGCCCTGGAAAAAAAATGGGGGGATAGGGGGTGGTGGAGATCAGAGAACATTATCATACAAAGCCAAACTGAAAGATCTAAATTATTAATCAAATAAAAGCAAAGTTTCTGTGGAAAATCATTCGCATACTTCTTGTATAAAGGCTCCCTTCCAGACATCTCAGATAAGAACATGACAACACTGCATGCTAGCAATAGATAGGGTTAAAATATAGGGTTAAAATGGGCTCAAATGGTATATCATTTTTATGGAGATTATATATCTTATTAATAACAAGCAGAGGTCAAACGCAATGAAGGAATATGTAGTGGAAGTTAAATGACATGACATTTAAAAGAAATAACCTTATACTTTTCTTGTGATGGCTGGATGAAATATATAGCATCCATGGACGGTAATGGCTGCCTTCTACTGAAAAGATCTTCCACCACTAATATAGAAGAATCTCTAGTAAGTCCCAATTTACAAAATGTTGCTTCATGTTGTCACAATTTATATAAGCTTACAGGAAACTCCTTGATCCGTGATATCTGCCATTTTACACGAATGAGACATGACTTTGACTGTCACTTTATCCATTATAAGTACCTGTCGAAAATATATTAGTTAGTCTCTTTCTACTGTGGACTAAGCATACTCGAATAGATTAAAAACTTAAGATCAGTATCTACCACTTCCATCTAGCGTTTTTATTGCTGAGAATTTGAAAAAGGCTGAAAAAATAGAAGAAAAACAAGTAAAATCAAATGGAAATCAAATACTATCGAACCTTCCAATCCGATTTTGAACCTCCAGATGTGGAAGATCCAAGCATCTCATACAATAGCCTTTAAAGAAAGAAAATTAGCCATCAAAATCGTAAACCAAACAGTCAGAGATTCAACAAGTCCTCCTCGACGCGTAAACCCTAGGAATACCAGTTTCTCTTTGCGAGAGGAGCCAAATATCGAGCCTAATTTAAACTTAACATTTCAAAGATCTTGAAATTTCACGGAAACAAACAGGAAAACCTAGGAATAAAACAAGGAGATCAAGTAGAGAGAGAGAGAGAGACATACGATCGCGGCTGAACTGTCGAAAAACCTTGTATTCTTTTTCACCGCCATGAGAAGACTTAGAATCCGAAAACGAAATTGCTAACTTTCGATCATGCAAACAAAACAAGATAAATTTCCAGATCTAAAAAACAATGATTAAAAGAATTTTTTTTTATCTAAGGGAGATAATTTTTTAAAGAGAAAATTAAGGAAAAAAAAAAAGTGCATGCGTTTGTCTGAGAGAAAGATGGCGCAGCGTGGAATGGCCGTTATATTGCGAGGGATTGATGTTCATTAAATCGCGAATTTTTCTCTATAAATTAAAATAACGCGGGGTCGTGATCTTTAAGCGGAAAACTTGAAGGTAGCTTGAGCTGCACGCAAGTGCCTAGCGGTCATTATTTTGTATTGGGAACAGTGCAATTCAGTAAAATTCAGTAAATAAAATTCGGTTTTATAATTTATGATAGGGCTCGGTTAAATTTCTAATTAAACAAAATTAGAATATTTTATAATAGGTTCGGGTAAATTTCAGTAAAATTATTGTTTGTCTTTTATTCGGTTAGAGTTTAAATAGTAATTTTAATTTAGTTATTATTCGAATCTTATTATAAATAATATTTTTTATTAATAAATTATTTATTATTAATAAATATTTAAGTAAATTAATTTATTAAATATTTTAATTATAATTTTTCACTTTAATTTTTTTATGAGTTAACTTTAATTTGTTAATTTAAAATATTAATAATATTATTAAAATAAAATTAAAATTTAAGCTTAAAAATAAAACTGACTTAATAAAAAATATTTAATAAATTCGGATAATTAACAGATTTTCTTATATTATATAAATAAAATTCGGATATAAAAATAAAAAATATTCGGATAATTATCAAATTTGAATAATTTTAATTAATAATTGAGTTTAAATGTGGATACCTCAAAATAATTGATATTTTACCTGTTGATATCATTATGAATTAGATCAATTTGATATACAAATATGTTTTTTCAAAAAAAAAAAAAGCAAATATAAATTTAAATTAGATAGTGCAAGTACAATTATATGTTCTCTAGTTAATTAAAAATTTAAGCCCATCCCATTCAATAAAATGGATCGCATGGTCATCTTATATATAAGGTAATGCAATTGTTGCACTGACCTAAGTTTAGATTTATGTTAAAAAGGTCTTGATTAGAAAAGAAAAAAATAAATGCAATTCTACAGCTTTTTATTTCTTTAATTACCAGTCCTTATTAATTTTCTCATGCATATAAATATAAGCATCCGCCAACCCCAAAAAAATGTACTTTGAAACCATTTGGTTTAGAACGTTTTGCTGAATGATATAAATAAAATTATATATAATGCTGATGCGGTTCACACTCCACAAGAATAAATTTGGAAACATATAATAATAATAAAAAACATTAATTTTTAATTAAATTTCATAATCACAAGCTTCATTGGGTCTCCTTTCGAATGCTAGAAGAGTCGGAGAAACTAATTTCTTTATCTTTGAGCTGATTCAGCGACATCTTCGGACCCTTGGTCCGTGCATTTTGCAGCATGAATTGAACCAATTGGTTGACGTTGTTCCTGGAGATTTTCACCATTATGGCAAAATAATATATGGTAGAGATGGTAGTTATACTTACCAGAGATGGCCTCTTTCTTTGCAACACATAATAGCTCCATCAAATATTTTCTCAACCCTTTATGTAAATTTGAAACCTGTATTCACGATTTTTTTTTACGATAAAATATAAGAATCGTTAAAATTTTGAGTAATTTCATATAATTAAAATTAATTTTCAAGATTTTTGTAGGGACAGTTATTCTCACCACCCTGAATTCATCTCTGCATATGGTCAGAGTGACTAAATTAAATTATCAAACTTCAATGACTTTACTGAAGTAAATTAAAATTTAGTGATTCAGTTAGAATTTTTATATATTGGATTGGACGTTATATTTTTTTAAACTTTATTTGCTGAACGTTGGGCAAGAAGTTTGGTTAAACACAACTATCCCAAAACAAACAACCATAGTGAAGTCCATACTCAATGAAAACACAAGCATCCAAACATGAAATACAGCAGAAAATACATCAATTTTCCAGTTATTAGACCAAAATAATAAGCTTAATGAGCCTCGCTACTAATACTTCCTTCTTTAAAATCATAAAATCTTCAAAGGAACTACTGCATCATCATCAACCCTCAATTGATAGAATCATATATCTATTATAAATATCCTCAAGCCCTTGGTCCCTGCAATGTAAGAAATTGAAACAATCAGTTAATATTGTTCCTAAAGATTTCGTACCATGATTTCAAATTAGCCAAGCTAGAGACTGGAGAGTGATGATTAGCCTTACTAGAGAAACCCTTTTTCCTTGCAGCTGTTAATAGCTCCATCATACATATCCTCAACCCCGTATTTAAACTTGAAACCCAAATCCAAGAGTTTCTTTGATGACAAACCAGGCAGTTTAGTACCTTCAATATCTGTTAGGGAACTGCCAAGTAATAAAAAAGTTGTAAAAATTTTCTTTTAGTCTTGAGATTAAGATAACATGAGTTTAAATTAATTGAGAAAATGCCAACGGGAAAAAGCCGTTTACTCACTCTTTAATTTTGTATTCTGGATATTTAGTTGAAAGAATTTCAACAATCTTCTGAATAGTTACTGTGTCCGAGGAACAATTATACCTTCCTTTTGCCTCAGGATGCTCGAGCAAGAAAATAAGTGCCCTTGACAAATCATCAATATGCACCATTGCCACATTGAGAAGAAGACTATAGTCATCCCTACTCTCTGAAAAGTTCATAGTATTTTAGTAAATGGTTCTCTCTGTTGAATCAATAATCACTTGAAAAAAAAATATTCTAAGTTAAATTGATTCAAGTATTATAATTTTTGGACATTAGAAAGACAACTTCAACTTATACCAAGGATTGGAGACAATGCTGCTCGCACTGAGCCTTGCATTTTTGGACAGATGAAGGGACCTAGAACCATAGGTGGAATGACTGTCACCAGATCCAATCCATGTTCTGCTGCAAATTCAACAACTGCCTTTTCTGCCAAAGTCTTGGAAATTGCATAAGAACTTACATATGACTTAAGTTCTCTAACGTAATCCACATCAGTCCAATAACTCTCATCCATCACGTCCACATTCTTGTTGTTGAAATACACTGCGGAAATACTAGAAGTGAAGACAACTCTCTTCACCGTTTTTGATCCTAAGCATGTCTTCAAGATGCCTAGTGCTCCATCGATTGACCTTTGGGTCACTACTGCCTCAGGCTCATTGTCTTGGAAATCCATGGGAGCGGCAACATGGAGAACTCCTTTGCATCCCTCAATGGCTTCATCGAAACTCTCAGGAGAACTAAGATCTGCTGTGAAGATTTTAAGCTTTTCATCTGCCCTCGGTAGGCTGGTGAGGAAGCTAAGATCTCTCTTGTTTCCTAATCATATTTCAGCATCATGTTTAGTGAAGTTTAACTGAACTCTGTCGTCTCATATTAAAGAAATTCAGGTTTTCTTTGGGTGGAAAAGGGCTGCTTTTTTCTTTTTAAATAGCTTGAATGCAACAACTGACATAAAAATAACTGAAATATAGCTAGTCAAAAACCCATTAAACCGGCAAAAGCATAAGCAGGGATTAATGCTATCCTGTATCTCTGTTACAATAGAATCTCTGTCCTGCAACAATTTCAATCAGTACAAATACAAAGATTAACTCTGCTCACTTGTTTAACATTAATTTATATAAAGTACTCTATCCATAAATTTTTACACCTAAGCAAGAACAAAAGATCTTGATATAAAATTAATACTAAATTGCATTTTTTATTAACCTTACTAAATTAACTTTGATCGTACCTGGGTCTGCCCTAACAGTGGTATGAACAGAGTAACCCTGCTCAAGAAGCACCTTAATCAGCCAGGAGCCTATGTAGCCGGTCCCTCCTGTGACGCAGACAGTTCCTTTATCTCCTTCCATCTCCCCTCTGTCTCTCTTCTTTCTCTAAGAGGAATGGGTATTTGCAATTCTTGCCACAGTAGTATTGTTTGTTTTCAGATGTGAATTTGCTCTTAGCCTCTCACTATTTTTTATAGTATTCAGGTGAGTGATTGATTTCCCTCGTGAACTTCAAAGTTAGGCGTCATAGTTTTTCCAGCATTTTCGGCAGTCACCGTTGCCGCCGCCTTTTCTTTACCTGTGTATCAATTTGTGTTTCTTTTCACCGGCTGTAGCCGGTTAAAAGAGAAACTGCTACGCTTCTTTGCTAAAGCGCCTAGAACTTGATGGCTTGATGCGTATGCAATGACGACTGGCGCTTAAAATGTATTATTATACGATGGAACAATATATAATTAAAAAATAATTATAATCTAATTAATAAAAAAAAACCAAGAAAAGAAAAGAAAAGAAAAACGTAATCGTTCTGGAAAAACAAAAAAAACCCCAAATCACTTCTTTCTCAAATTATTTAGTAAACCCTAACCCTTCACCAAATTATCTTCATTAATGAAATGAAGTGATTAATTATTTTAGTTTTACCTTCATGAACAATTTGATTGAAAGGGAAGCACGAGTAAATGGAGGAAAGGTAATGTGCTAGTGTCATTGCCAAGAACGGGCTTTTTTTTTGTTTTTTGTTTTTGTCAAAGTTGGATGATTCAAGTCTTTGTTCTATTAAGCCTACAAGTCATTCATGAAAGTATGTTTTCTAGAATATATATAAAAAATTTAGAAAGGTCCATAATTTTTTAGTTGTCAAGTTTGACTATAGATTTCTGGAGAAATATATATTTCTTATATTACATCTTAGAAACTTCTGTATCGAATTTGACGTAAAGAAATCCTCTCTTCACACTTTACAGCTTGGAAGTTGGAAATATTTGGTGAATACTTTAATTACTTAAACTCGAATTTATAAGTCAAGGTGTTTTGTCAATAATAGATTAAGAGTTAATTTAGTATTGCTGTAGTGATTGAAAAAAAATTGAATTAAAAAAAAAATAATTAAAAATTTTAACCGTTTAGTATTGTTATAAAAAAAATATATAAAAATTAAAATATTAAAACTATAGGGCTACATAATGATTTTATACCCTAAAAGTATTTCTTCATAAAAAAACACTTTTTGAATAGTTTTTTAATTTGAATTGTAAAATTAAACCTTTAAAATGGGAATTTATTATTTTTTAAATGAAAAAATTATTTTCGGATTAGGCGTAAATCTCGTCTTACTTTTGCAATTAATGTGGAATATGATTAATGCGAACAAATGAAGGGGTCCAACAACCGAAGGAGGAAGAAGCATGTGCATGACATTTTTAAATTTTAATCCACGTGTTTTTTTTTGGCAAATTGTAGGCTGGTTGTCTTTTTCTGCACAATTCCTGATCATTCCATGTACTTTGGTCGTTTAGGACTTTATTTTATTCTTCCTTGAATATGGCTCTTGCAGTAGAAGTCCACAACTCGTTTTACGGTCTTGGAATTGTCAAGGAGGGCGTTTAAAATGCCAAGTGATGAGGTCATCCTTCCATTCTATACTGTTCCTTTACATAGATATTAATAATAAAAAAAAAAGTTTTTTTGAATGAAAGAAAAAGATATATATTTTTTTATTCGGATAATTAAAATTAAAAAAAATAATAATACATAAATATATATTTTAAATTATAGGTTTTTTGTTATAAAATAACATATAATATATAAATACTTTTTTATACTATTTAATTTGTATACAATAAATATTTTTAAATAAAATTAAATATATTTAATACAATAAGATGTATTAATTAGTTATTGATTTATTCTTAATTTTATGTTTAATTTAGTCTTTAATTTATTTTGATAATAATTTGATTTTTTTTATTATTAAAACTTAAAAAATTATAAAATATTTATAAACTATAATACTATATAAAATACTTATAAAAAATTATTTTTATAAAAAATATCAGTTATATAATCAACTTTAATATCATAATAAAAATATAAATATAATAATTTTTTATAAAAATATAATTTTTTTATAAAAATAAAAATTTTTAATTTTCTTTTCTTTAGTTTTTCTTTCAAATTCAACTATTAAAAAAAATAAGATTACAATAATTACAAAGATTATTAAATTTTCATTTTTTTATTTTTTAAATTAAAAATTTATTCAAATAATATTTTTTTTATTTTTATTACTTTATTTTATTTTCCTTTATTTTTCTTCCCCTCCCTTCAATCCAAATATAGTGTCAGTCATTATCTCTGCAGGATCTTGTTGCCCCTTAACGGCCATGAGATGAGCAATAAGAAAGACTTCCACGAATCCTTAAAACAGCTGCTTCCAAGCTATTAGGTTAATTCCGAGCCCATCTGCTGAGCCTTGCGGGTCCGTAACGCAAGCCGATGTGTCTGATCTTGCTATCTGCCCGTATGTTCATATTTCCAATTGAGCTTGCAGTGATCGGACAGCCCAAGTTTATATAAAAAGCTGGTGAGGAGTCCGCCTAAAATTTGGGCTTTTTCTTGGCCTGGACCTAGCTTAACCCAAACCCATGTGCATCTCATTCCTTCTCCTCCGGAATTTAGATTTACTCCGTTTTAAAATTATAAGTGAAAGCAAAATTGAAGAACCTTAATCGTAATTTTCTTTTAGGACTTGAAACCCAAGTAAAAATGGCATAACAAGGACTCTCCTTTATGTTTTAGAATTGCACATATAGCACAAAATACATTACATTTGCTGTTATCAAACCCAAAGTTACACCTAGATAACGAGCTTGATGAAATTTACCACATCCGTTTTAGAACCATAGAAAGCTTCACAGAATTTTGATCTTTATCCTTCAAATGATTCAATGATATTCTATTGTTCCCTGCAATTTGAACCAATCAAAGCTAGAGATGGTGATTGATTATGCTTACCAGATAAAGCCTTTTTCCTTGCAGCACTTGATAGCTCCATCATACATATCCTCAACCCCATAGTTAAAACTTGAAACCCAAATCCAAGAGTTTCTTTGATGACAAAGCTGGTGATTTTCTACCTTTGGTTTCTGCTAAGGAACTATTAATAATATAAAAAAAGTTGAACAGCACTGCAGCAGCATTAGAAGAGCAGACAACTCTCTCCACCGTTTTTGATTTTAAGCATGCCCTCTAGATTCCTAGTGCTCCATTGATTGCCGTTTTGGTCACTATTGTCTCAGGTTCTTTGTCTTGGAAATCAACATGGAGGACTTCTTTACATCCCTCAATGGCTTCATCGTAACTATCCGGATCACTAAGATCTGCTACCAAGATTTTAAGCTTTTCATTTGCTGCCAGTAGACTGATAAGGAAGCTAATGTCTCTTTTGTTTTCTGTTCACATTTATGCACAATGACTTAGTATAGTTTGACTGAGCTCGCAGAGGTTAGAAAAATGAGATTTCTTGAGAGGAAATAAGAGAACTTTTGCTGGTTTATGAACAACTAACAAAAACGAACTGAAACAGTCGCTAAACTAGCAAAAATCAAGCATGGCTATCTCTGTCTTGTATTTGATCTTTAATTACATGGATCAGCTGCAATGTAAATCCTAATGCGTAACTGAACTTTGAGACCACAGTAATTCTTAAAGTTTAAATCTCTCGTCAATTAATCTCACTAGTTTATTTTTCTACTTAGTTCATTTTAGAATCCGTTTAATTAATGACCTGTTGGTGCACTAAAAATAGTTAAAGGTTTAGAAATATAATTTAGCATGATTTGTCAAAAACTTGATTTGCAATCAAATTTAGAAAAATATTTAGCATTTTTTGCTAAATTGATCAAAACGTCTTTATGAGGGATAAAATAACCATCAAAAACAAAATTTTGGTTTAATTTCTTGTAATTAATAACATACGGGGTTTACCTCGTTTAATCTTAGAATGTTTCTTACCAAAAATGCCAGACTTGAGTGCGGACTGATAGTTGGTTTTATCAGACTTTGTCGAGCAATTCTGAAATTTGTATTTAAATTCATCTATATCCTGTTTGGTATAGATAATAGTTTTACTCTAATAATCTCTTTTGGAGAATGAAGAGTAAGTTCACAGTATTGGGACTTCGCTTCCAAAGCTTCAACGGGTCTTCACTGAAGTTTTCCTGCAAAATCTTATAAAACCAATGTTTTTCATAATAGTTTTAAGTTCAGAAATATGTGCTATTTCTGGATGAAAACCATTATCACAAACATGATTATGCTTGGATAAAAGAGGAACATGTATTGATTTTTTATCAATAATAAAAGTAAGATAATCAGGGAAAACAAAAAATGGTAAATATTTATGTATAAAATTATTTCCTAACAGAATATTTCCATGCATATTAGGAAAACATAATATTTTAGGTATAATAAATTTTCGATCGTTTAAAGTAACAAGAATATTTTTTGCATTTAGGTTAACCACGGTTTCTTTACCTTCAATACCTATTATTATTATAGGATGCTTCATAAGTTGCCATTTTGTTAAAGGCAAAGCATTGGGTCAATAGCTAAAGATTGTTGCTTATGTGTCAATTAAAATATTTAAACTATATGGTTTATAGTTTGAGAAATAAAAATATCCTTCTATGTAAGTATAATAACGAACCTTTTTAGCAAAAAAAATTATTTTTGGCACGTTTTGTGCAGAGATACGATAATTATTTATATAATGAAACATTTTAATATCTTCATTTCTAGTTTTTCTAGTTGAAGAAGTGTGTGAATTTAATATAGAATTTACAGAATGATAATAGGTTTGGTTATCACTTGTACCTTACTGAGATGAATTATCTCCTGCAAAAATAAAGATTTGAGCATTATCAATATTACCTGATTGGTGCATACTATTTACTTTTCTTAGGGCTTTTGTACTATTTGTACTATAAAAACTTGAAAAAGAACTTCGGTAAGGAGTACAAAAAGATTGATTACTTGTTATACTCTCTATATCATCTTGTTGATGATCAAAAACATTTGTAGGAGGTAAAATCAGGTTTTGATTAAAACTGGTTGATTCATTTGAATTTTTGAAGTAAAAATTTTTTCCTGATGAAAAAAATTCTAAACTTGGTACTTTCTATTTTTTAGAAATAGTTAAAAGATCTTCGAGACACCATCCTTTTGGGATTGATAAATCTGTGAGATTTACTAGTTTTGATTTTATTTTTGAATCAAAATTATTTGGTTCAAAAATTTCAATAATATTGGAATCTATCGGTTTGATAAAAGTACTGGTAATATTTATAAATTCATAAACTCCAGACCAATTGATTGAAAGATCATGCGAAGTAAATTCGAAATCAG